GGCCCCCTTTCGGTTTTTCAAGCAAGGGAAAAAGGAGCCAAAACAGCTGTTTGGGGAAGAGGCCCAGGGACTCGATCGCCTGAACAAGCGCCGCGAAAGTCTCAAGAGCCGCGTCCGACCCGAGGCTGAAGTGACGAGGGCGAAAACCATCGAGGGATTGGGACGTGTGGTGGCTGAAACTGCTCGACGCATTCCTAAGCTCAGCCGCACTCGGCCGAGGCAGATGGACACGGTCGGGCACGCAAACTTCAGGGGGCACATGAGACGCGCGCCAACACTTAGCCAGCTCCCCCCCTTCACGGCGAAGAAGGAGCTGCGGATTACTGTTGAAAACTCCAGGGTGGGTCTGGACCACAGTGGGATTCCACTTAGCTTTTAACTTAGTAAGTCGATGCATCCCCCTGGCACCTCCCTCCAACGCCTGCTCCTGCCATTGATCCCAGCTGTCCTGCTGCTGCTTAACAATGGCCTGCTTGGCCGAGAGGAGATCGTCCTCCCACGACTGTGCGAACTCCTGGCACTCGTCGCGCCAGCCATTCAAAGGGCCTGACGAGGGGAACTTGCTCGCCAGACTGCGTGCCTGCCGTAGGGTCGAATCGAGGCGTATGTCGCCTCCTTCGCCTGGGCAAGGAAGACCTAAACGCTGCTGGATTTGAAGCTGAACATCCTGGAGCATCTGGTCACGGGCCGTGATGTTCTCAAGGCCGTCGGGGTCCTCAGCGGCCCTCGTGTAGGACTGCTGGAGCCTCGCGGAGGCCCCCACCGTTTCGCTGAGGTGCTGGGCCAACCAAATCCATCCCCGAGAGACCGAAAGCATTTCAACAGCACGGGGTTGGCGAAAATCGGGGCCCATTTAGGTTTCAGATAATCACCTCGGAAACCTTTACATCTAACAACCTCACCAGTGTAGCTCTCAAGCTCAAGCTCGAAAGTGTTCGCGAAGTGTTGCCACGCAACAGAGAGCAACGCCCACGCCTGGCCGACAGGTGCCCCAAGCGCAGCCTCGGCTGCGGCCTCGGCGATCGCCCGCGCGAGGCGCCAATCCTGCGGCTGGGGCAGGGGCCCTATGGGCAAACTGGTGGGAAGGCGCTGGTGGCCTCGATGCTGCAACTGATAGCATTGAACAGCATTCTCCTTGAGGTTCAAAATGACAGGGCGGTGGGGCCTATGGGTCCACTCGAGGTCCGCTTGGACCCCATCAGTGGCCTTCGCGAGGCCCAAGCTCACCAAGAAATAATCGATCGTAGACAGACTCTGTGGGGAGAGGCAAATTTTCTGACCAGGAACAAAAAGCGCTCCCCCCGTACGACGACACACACCCGAGGAATCAACGAGGATGGGGTCGAGGTTCCAGTCACAACCCACCAGAAACATGTGTTCGCCCTGGAGACGCTCCCCCATGAGACGAAGTAGCTGAATATTCAACTTGCACATACCAGTGCCACTCTTGAGATATCCACGCACAACTTGGAGCGGGGGCCATCCTGGCAGATCAACGACAACGTGCATTAACCTGCGAGGGTACACTATGCCCGTCCGATCCGCAGGCCACCTAAGGCCGAGGTGTGAGCGAACAAAGACCGCCACCCCCGCCCTAGTTCGGTTGCCCTCACCAGGGAGGGACGGGGAAGACAACATGTTCCATCCCAGGGCCCCCGCAGAGCTAGCTTTTTCACCCTCACGATCCTGGATGAAGCCCACCTCCTGCGCCAACAGTATGCTAGCCGAAGACCTCCTCAGACGGTCGCGTAACGTGGCCCAACAGTTGCCATTATACGTTTCGAAGCAGCTGCCCAGGCCATCGAGCTCTGAGGACAGCGGAGTCGAAGGGGTGGATGGGGGGCGGAGGTGGAGCAGGAACTCCGAATTTAGAAAGATTGAGCCCGCAGCAAAGCGGCTGGCTCTGGTTAAACTCGCGGCTTGACACGGCGCAGCTGACCACCGAACCGCTCAGAAAAGGCACTCTTGTCGAAGCCCTCCTCTCTGGCCGCAGTGAGGATACTGTCGATGGTGGTGTCATCGAGGTCGTCGAGTTCCATGTCATCTGGGACGCGCACTCCAACTCCACCTGCATTTGCGTCGGCCCCGTCACGGTCCTCACCTGACCCGCTAGCCCCAGCGGCACTGCCAGGAGCCTGACTCGCACCACCAGACGGAGTAGCGAAGGGCGAGGCGGCTGTCGCTGGCTTGGGGGGCTCGCGGGCCTTGATGCTCTCGCCCGGGACCTCCGCAAAGATCTTGAACGTATCTGACTCCATGAACGTCTTGAGCACTGCTGCTTGAGGGTGTTGAGCCAAGACGTTAGGATCGACCTCCAAATTGACCTTAGGCGCCAATGGTAAAGTATCGACCAACTCACGATTAAGCATCGAGATCTCCTCCTCAGCTGCCTTGATCTGCGCACGAAGAGTATCAGCACGTTCTTCGGCTGCACGGATGATCTCAAGCTGATCGGAAACCTGCTGCTCGAGCTTGCTCTTGCGTGTCGTCGCTCGAGAAAGCCGATGTCCGATGTTGGTGTGCTGGGTGAGCTCTGGCTTCGTCGCCGCCAACTGCTTGCGGCAGTCCACCAGCTGCTTCTCCAATGACTCACAAGCTTCCTTACCAACCTCATCAGGCAGCAACTTGCACGCTGAAAGTGAGCTCTCAAGTTGCTTGATATTCTCCTTGAGCTTGTCTTCGGGAGACAGCTCCTTCTCCGTGGGAGAGGTGGCCACGGGCGGGGGGACTCCATTGCTCTTGGCCACCAGCGCGTCGTACTTCTTCTGCAGCGCGTCGATCTTCTGCTGGAGCGGGTCGGTTCCCACTGGTGCGCGACGCCTAAGAGGTCCACGCTCCGCAGCACCGCCAGCACGCTCACGAGCACGACGAACCACATCTGCTGGTGCACGCTCGCCACATAGACATGTGATGCGGCACGCCCATAAAGCGTTCCTCCCACAGGATCCGCATGCCCATGTGGGAGAGCGGGGGCCCGCCAGAACATCTCCAGCGCCGCCTCCGCCATTTGCCATGGAAGCCCAGTGACTGGGCGAGGAAACTGGGGCCTGTGTTCGGCCTGAAACAAGTAGCCACAAAGGGCGATGACTCGCAGCAGCGACTGCCGCTCTGAATCCTGCTGCTGCAAACTCAGCACCTGAAACAGGTCTGAGCCAAAACGGCTGAAGAGGAGGAGGAGAAGCACAAGGAGGAGGAGGATGAGGACCAGGAGGAGGAGGAGGAGGAGCAGAACAAGGAGGAGGAGGAGGAGGAAGAGAAGGAGGAGGAGTGTCCTGACCCAATCACTCTGCGGCAATTTTCAGCCGAGGAGGGCACCTCACCAGCGGTGCCCTCGCGCACCGGTGCGCTCGCATTCGGTTGCGTGATAACCGACCCCTAACCAAACAAAATCAGAACTGCCCATGTTGGACATTGGTCTTCTGTCGATGTATGGTTACGGTTAATGACAAGCCGCGTCTACATCGCAGTGCAAGGGGGGGGGGATGGGAAAGGCTATGCCGCTCCTTGACAACAACCTTGCCCCGATGTGTGGCAGTCGCGCTCGCCGCGACGACCGGACCTGTAGTGAAGCCTCCCAAATCCAGACCTCCTCGCGTCGCGCCAAAATAACCACAGACCGTTTCTCCATACTTTCAGCCTCTGGGGCCCGCCTCCCCAGCCATGGGGGGGCCCGACCAAACCGAGGCCCGCCCGGCCAGTACCAAGGTGGCTAGCAAACGTCCTCCCAAAACCATGCGGTGATGGACCGAGCGGTGACCTCGGAATCCCGAGCGACCTCACCGCTGGTTTGGGACGTCGGAAGCCCCAGTAGCCCGATACACACTCGGAGAACGGCTCGAACTGAACCCCAAAACCGTGCGGTCACGCAGAATCTCCACTGACTCAAAACACACGGTGTGGTAACCGCACTGTTTGGGCTCCCCGATGCTTTTTGACTCGCCGATCGAAGGAGAAACGGCGCGGCCGCCGGCACCCGGGCACGGTGCCGACTCAGTCGGGCGCCCTCGGCAGCTGCGCGATGCGGCGCGCAGCCAAGGACACGAATGCAGCTTCGCTGCCCACAGCGGGAAGGCATGGGGGAGGCAGCGGGAGGAGGGATGCTTTGGGCGCCCGAGTTATCCGGGGTAACTCGGGTCCGGGGTACCTCGGGTTTGGATTCCCGAAAAACGAACCCGAGTTAGCCCTGACCCGAGTTACCCTGATGATTCGGGGCTCTGGACGCCCGAGTTATCCGAGGTAACTCGGGTCCGGGATAACTCGGGTTCGGACTCCCGAAAAACGATCCCGAGTTAGCCCTGACCCGAGTTACCCCTGAGGATTCGGGGCTCTGAAAGCTGGCCATCGCTCGGACGTCCATTTCCTGTTTTTTCTCGGTTTCGTGCGCGGTTTTTTCGCGAAATGATCAAGGATGCTCCTCGATGGTCCTCGCCGAGGGAAAAATGCACACGTCCGAGCGATGCCAAGGAAGAGGAGAGGCAGAGGGAGGGAAACCCCTCCGCGGGGGGCCTGCCCTGCACGAGGCGGGCCTGGCGAGCACGCCGGCATCGCCCTTGATGTGGAGCGCACCCCGCTCAGGCGTTACGTGGTGGGGCGCGGGAGCAGCATGCACCTTTCGTGCCCCCTTTGAGCCCCGGGGGGCCCCGTCACGGCAACACTCGGGATTCGGGCACCAAAAATGCAACGCTCTTCAACCCCATTCATCGAACCCCCATGGCGCAACGCGGGCACACGCTGACTACCGCTTCATGGATCTGGCGCGCGGTCGTCAGATCCACGGACCAGAGCGGGGAAAGGCCCCACCCCGCCGGAACGTGGCGCAAGCGCCGCCCGAAATCTAGCGGCGCTAACCCACGCGCATTCGTCCACGCTCGCGCTGCCTCGATCCTCGCTCCCCCTCGCCCCTCCCCGTCCCTCCGCCACCCCTGCCTCTCCCCCGCCCCCCTCGAGATTTCGAGAGAGCCCCCCCGCACCGACGCCCGCCCGCGCGGTCAGCTCAAGTCCTCGACGTGGAACGCGCCGGACTCCCAGTGCCGCATCTCCTCCGCGCTGATGAGCCCGTCCCCGTTCGAGTCGAGCTTGGCGAAGTCGCGCTGCTCATCCTGGGGGCGCCGTTTCGAAGCACCGATCCCTGAGATCTTGGCGCTGCAATGCTTCCAACACCAGGTGTTCCCGCCCGGGCCCTGGGAGGCTCACATCGTCCGAGTCGAAACATGCAGCAGAAAGGTTGGGTCTACAGTTGGGGTTGACGGAAGAGGCCACCCGAGAGGACACAATACCATTCCGAGGGCCACTTTGTGACAGAAATGTAGAAGGAATGGGTCGCGAAACACAGAACGCAAAGGGTAACTCTTGATTTGGCAGGGTCGACCTAATAATCAACCTCGACTGTAGGGCTCCAGTCGTTGTTCCGCGAAGCTGCATTCTTTGCTCAACGTCGGACCTCAGGAATGCGTGTCGCTGACCCGAGCGAGCCGATCTGCGTACAAAGGTGCCCACCGCGCTAGCGGTGAGCAAGTCGCAGTCCTGGGCCTAAGGAGGGCAACCAACGAGGCTAGACTTCATGCGCGCCTTCGCTAACGCTCCGCCCCCTCCGCCCGCATTTGCAGGCCAGGGCGCTCCGGGCAGTGGGGTCGGCGAACTGGGCGCTAAAAAGCAGCTCGCCCTCGATTGCTGGGGGACTCTGCTCGGAGAACTGGAACGCACTTGGGCTCAGGCCCGGCACCTCCATTAGCGACATCGGTTGAGGCACTGACCCTCCATGTGCATGATCATAACACACATCTTGGGGTTATACACCTTCGAGCTTAGCAGGGCCGGCCTGGGGCCCTCTGACGCGCTCCCAAGACCACCCGAAAGAGAAAAACCGGAGGAAAAACACGCGTTGAACAACAACCGGTTTTGGCACATGGTTGTGGCCTGGGGGCTTTCTTGAGGCCTCCTGGGACTTGTCTTGAGGCATCCTGTGATCTCCTGGGGCCGCCCTGGATGAGGATGAGGAGGAGGAGGAATTTGTATAACCGTCCGGGCCGTCGTGGCGGCCTCCGGGCCCCCTGCTGGACCATGTCGGAAGGCCCCGGAGGCCCAGATAGCCGACTGGAGCCCCCAGAACGGGTGCCCGACCCCAGAAGGCAAATGTGACCCCCGAGAGGGATCTCACGAGCGGCGAGCATATCCATATCCGTGCCCTCGCGGTCTGGAATCCAAGGCGCGATGCCGTGGATACGTGGTCGCGTGGATGCGTTCCGCGCGGGGCATCCGCGAAAAAATGCTCCGTATGCAGGAGTCGCGGCCCAAGTGCCCGGCCCGAAAGGCTGTGGATATGGATATGTTTTTCGCCCACAAAGATCATGCTAATTCGCCGCGAATGGAGGCGAGTGCTGAAGGAGGTGGAGAGCCACGTCCTGGAGCACGTTCTACTAGAGCCCGGAGAAGACTCTAGAACGTGCTTCGACATCACTACGTCAAAACGAACGAGCCCCTCAACCTGTACCAATCCCAGAGGACACGACGACTAACTTCGGAAACTCTGGATATTCACATCACTCTAAACGCTCGGTCGTGTCGAGGCCACGTAAGGACCGTGAGTAAACATTCCCAGGCCTGTCAGTAGTTTGTGGGGCTGTCCTACAACCCCCTGGATTAAAAAGTGGAGACCGCAGGGGCCGAGGTAGACGTGGTTTGCCTCCCGTTAGGCAGCGGGGCCCCGGGACAATGTTGGATTTGTTGCCAATTCCGGAGTTTCCGGTGCCTCCATCATCCCTTTTAATATTATAAAGGCCAAATGGGGCTCCGACCGGAAAGTGGGATTCTGCCTAGGACTTCCTCAAAAAAAGTTTCCGGTCGCCTTCCAGGGCGACCGGAAATTCTGCCATGCCACCGGAAAGTGGCGATTCCGCGTGGGACTTCCTCAAAAAAATATTCCGGTCCCTTTTGAGGCCGCCAGACAGTGGCGATTTCGCGTGGGACTTCCTCACACATTACTTTTTGTCGCATCTCATGCCACCAGAAAACGACGATTTCGCTTGAGACTTCCTGACATTCGAGTTTCTGGTCTCATGTACGCTCACACAGACGCCGCGGACCTATTCCTCTTTCCACTCTCTCCTCTTATCATCACAGTATTGGATTGTTCCGTGTCGCATGCTCTCCGTGCAAGTCAGATTCCAGTTGCCACAGCCTCGCGCGCGCGGTCCTATCTGCGCCTGGGCGGATGTCCGCAGGGATGGCCGTTGCATCGTTCGGTTCACAGGTTTGTCTTGGAGTCATCTTGAGGCCATCTTGAGGTCGCGTCGGGTCGCAGGCCCCCCTGTGGGAGGTTCGATCCCAGGGTCATTTTGGGGCGACGCGGTTGACCCAGGATGTACGGTCCAGAATCGACGATCCAGGATCGATGATCGAGGATACACGATCGATGACCCAGGACCGACTGTGGAAGAGCGAACCCATATCGATCGGAAACGAGGCTTTGGGTTCCACGGCCGATCAAAGTTCGACAACCACCTAGCGATTGAGGGTCGGAGATCGAGGGTCGAGGATCCAGGGCCGTTCGGACATCGAGGAGCCAGGATCGAGCGGCCACGATCCGTCGAAGTTCGACGCTGGATGGCCGATCGAAGAGCGACGATCGAGAACCGATGTTCCAGGCTTGATCGAAACTCCAGGCTCCAGAATGCCTGGCCGATCGAACATCCATGATCGAGGTTCGATCGAGGCTCGAGGATCGAGGATCGAGGGCCCCAGATACTTCGAGGGTCGAGGATAGAGGTCCGGTCGAAGAGCGACCATCGACTTCCCAGGATCCAGTCCCGATCGAAAGTCGCGGCTCGAAAGCCGAACGACGGACGAATACCAGGATGCGGTTCTTTCGGTGTAGCTCCGATCTCAACTTTTTAATCCAGGGGGTGGTAGATTTGTCATGTCGGACGACCTCGGCCTATTGGGGGCGGTATTGAAGCATCTGGCTAAAACGAGCGCTGTACTGCGTACGCTGTTTGGGAAATGATTACTCGACGAAAATCGCTGAAAACTGAGCCCCAGGCTGAGCCTGAAGAGACAGGAAACATGCAGAACACATTGTCACGGGGAGGCAGCGGGCGCGTTACAGTCATCAGATGAGGGAGTGGTGCCTCTACAAATGCACGCCCTGGTCTTGTGAGCAATCAACACGTCACTGAGGATCAATCGCGGCTGCCGTCCCGACGTTGATTATTCAACGCCTGCGTCAAGCGCTGTTGAGGCAGGGTCGCGAGGAATGCACTCCACTCAGTCTGGTGACTGACAGGACCTTACCAAACCACATCGGAAATATGAGTTGGCCTTTCCTCCCCCCGTCGGCCTCCAACATCTCGCCGTCATCCCCATCAGCGGGGTCGATCTCCCAGAACTCCATGGCACTCAACTTGCCGTCCCCGTTTGTGTCCTGTGGCCGGGAGCCGGATTGGACTGGCAGGACTCAAGAGCGCCAGCAGCAAGTGACCTCAGAACGGAGGCTTCTCAGTCGGCAACGGCCGGCGCAGTCGACTCACCCATTCAGTTCACTCGGTTCCTCACACGCTTGCTTACTTGCCTTCTTGACTGTGCGGCTGCAGCGTGCTCTCCCCTCCACCACCGTGCCGGTGTGCACGGAGTGGGCGTATCCTCGGGTCCTGGGCCCGAGCCTCTAATTTGGACACCCAAAATGGGTACCGAAATAATGGGTACAATGCCCAACAAATGTTGTCCCAAACCAACAGCGGCCGCTGTTGGGCAGGCGGCCTCCTGTCTCGAATAGACACAGGCCGCGGCGGCGCGGACAGCGAATCCTGCTCAACATTAACAGGAACTGCCGTTGGGCACCGTACCCAGTCTTTCCGTGCCCATCTCGGGCGTCCAGATCTCGAGCGTCCAGATCTAAGCCCCCATCGAAAACCTAAGGAAAACCTCAGGCAAGCTGCAAAAAAACCATAAAGGAACACGGAGCCCCTCCCCAACGAGAAGGGTCCCTTCTTCAGCGCCCCGACTGTATCCTCGGGTCCTGGGCCCGAGCCTCTGAGCCCAACAACACATGTTGTCCCAAACCAACAGCGGCCGCTGTTGGGCAGGCGGCCTCCTGTCTCGAATGGACACGGGCCGCGGCGGCGCGGACAGCGACTCCTGCTCAGCATGAACAGGAACTTCCGTTGGGCATCGTACCCAGTCTTTCCGCGCCCATCTCGGGCGTCCAGATCTAAGCCCCAGTCCCCACTCCCCAGCGAGAAGGGTTCCTTCCCCGACGAGAAGGGGTCCTTCCCCCACGAGAAGGAACACGGATCCCCTCCCCAACGAGAAGGGTTCCTTCTTCAGGGCCCCGACTGTATCCTCGCGTCCCGGGCCCGAGCCTCTGGGCCCCCGTCCTCCCTCCTGCGGGGCCCGGAGCCTCGCCCTCAAAGATCCTGGGGCTAACCGCGTGCCCCCTGGGGCTGCAGCGTGCTTTCCCCCCCACCACCGTGCCGGTGTGCACGGAGCGGGCGTATCCTCGGGTCCTGGGCCCGAGCCTCTGAGCCCCAATCCTCCCTCCCGCGGGGGGCCCGGGCCCTCGCTCTCCAATCTCCCCTGCAGGGCCTCCCGCGTGCCCCCCCGGGAAGCTCGGCGCGTGCCCCCCGGGCTGGCTCCCCCCGCAGCTCGTCGCGCGACTTCTTGTCGGGCCCAGGGTGGCCCCAACACGGGCCGAGAGGGCCTCGAGAGGCCACCCCTCGCCATCGCTCGGACGTCCATTTCCTGTGTTTTTTTGATTTCGTGCGTGGTTTTTTCGCCAAATGATCAAGGATGCTCCTCGATGGTCCTCGCCGAAGGAAAAATGCACACGTCCGAGCGGCGATGCCAGGGTCCAAGAGGACCCCGAGTCGTCGAAGGATCGCTCCAAGACGCTCGAGATGGCCCCAGATGGCCGAAGTGGCGTCCAAGACGCCCCAAGAGGCCTCCAAGAGGCCTTCCAAGAGGGCCTCAAGAGGCAAAGACTGATAATTACCTGGGATGTTTGAAGGACTTGGGCGTTCTCGCATTTTCGGCTTCCCGACGCTCCAAGACGACCCTAGAAGCCCCCAAGACCACCCCAAAACGTTCCAAGAGGCCTCCAAGGGGGCCCCAAGACAGCTTAAGAGCGCCCAAAGATGGCCCACGACGGCCCAAGAGGGCCCCCAGAGGGGCCCAAGAGAGGAAACACGACCCGAAAATCCGAGCCTTCCTCCCGAAGAGGCCCCAAGAGGCGCCGAGGAGGCCCCGAGAGGCTCCCAAGAGGCCTCCAAGAGACCCCACGAGGCCCCCAAGAGGCCCAACAATGCCCCACAAGAGGCCCCCAAACGGCCCTCAAGAGGCCTCCGAACTGCCTCCAAGACGCCCCCGATAGGCATACCACGAAATCCCAACGAACATCCAATAGACTTCATACCCACAACGCAGGCACGGTGGCGGGATGGGCCGAAGGATATTAGATAGCCGATGACGAAATGCTTCGCGCGTCATGCAGAGGCAGTCTTGACAGCCTAAGACAACCGAGCGCCAGAAGTCGTAGGGGCTGAAACCAAGAGAGGAACGCTTACTCTGAAGATCACACATCACCTTCACCTAGTGATGGAGGAGCTCAAGTCAGCGAAATATCCACCTTCAACTCTAAGAAACATTCTAAATTGGGTCCGAGAGATGGGATCGGAGGATTGCCCCTCATCCCCGATGCATCTCGGAGCCGGGCACGTTGAGACGACGGCAGCTCAAAATCTGTCCCTGGACCCCCTCCCAAGTCCAAACGCGCCAGTCGTCTGAGCTGCGCCCAGACATGGCGACGAGGGGCCCCCTCGAAGGCCATCTGCCTGTGTCCCAACTCGCCCTACCCTGAAATCCACAAGTGGGCACCGACCTCTTTCGGCGGCGAGCCCAGGGGGAGGAGGAGGAGGAGGAGGAGGAGGAGGAGGAGGAGGAGGAGGAGGAGGAGGAGGAGGTCCCAGAAGGCTCGACAGGCCTCCGGCCTTCCGAGGAGTGTCCCGAATCTTCTCCGAAGCTTCTCCGAAGGCCGGAGGGCCTCTGAGAAGCCCCCCCGCCTTCTGAGAAGGCCTGCTGCTCCTCACTTCCCCCCCGTGCGCGCCGCCGATTTGGCCGAGATCGTCCATCTTCCACTCGAGATGCACTTGGGGGAACCTGAAGAATCGATACCGCCACTCCCTGGACCTCTCCCGGGGTGCGCTCGGACCAGGATCTCGAGGCGAATCCAGCGGTGGCGACGAGGGCCTTCCAGGAGGTCTGAAAAGAGGAAACGATAGCAGGATAGCGGCATCGGCACCTTTTCCTCCTTCGAGCACTCCCTCGTGCCAGCACGGCGCAGCGCAGCGCCCCATCGCCACCGTGGGCGGCGCCCGACGACCCCCCCACACCCCCTCGGCTCCGCTCCGCTGCTGCCGCTTCGCTGACCAGGGCCTGCCCGTCCTAGGCCCCCGTCCGCTTGTCAGCCCTGCCCAGAGGGGGGCGAGGAGCCAAGTGCGGTCGGAGGGCGAGGTCGGGGCGGCGGCGGCGGCGGCGGCTGGCGAAGCAGGCTCGAAGAACCCCTGGGTGGAAACTGCCCGGGAATGGAGGGAGGGGGTGAGACGAGAGAGGAGGAGGAGGAGGAGGAGGAGGAGGAGGAGGAGGAGGAGGAGGAGGAGGAGGAGGAGGAGGAGGACTGAGGACGAGAGAGCAGGATGATGAGGATGAGCAGGAAGACAAGTAGGAGAGAGGGGGGGAGAAGGTAGAGGAGGGGGTGGGAGGAGGGGGGGGGCAGGATGGGTACGAAGAGCAGGAAGAGGAATGAGGATGAGGGGAGGGTGGAGCAGGTGGGGAGAGAGGAGGAGGGGGATAAGAATGATCAGGGAGGAGAAGGGATGAGGAGTAGGGGAAGGGAGGAGGGGGAGGAGGGAGGAGGGGGAAGACGTGAGGCGATAAACCACTGGGGCAACTAGGAGGGAGGAAGAGGGAGAAAGAGGGAGGAATGAGGAGAATGAGGAGGAGAAGGCGGAGCGTGGCAGATATGAGGAGGAGGAGGAGAAGAAGGAGCTGGATGAGGGAGGTGGAGAAGCAGGAGGAGGAGGAGGAGGAGGAGGAAGATGAGGGGGAGGGAGGATGAGATGTGGGGAGAGGAGGAGCATGAGGAGCAGGTGGAACGATGAGGGAATAGGGACCACAATTATTCCAGCATGCATCAACCATGTTGCACTATACCCTTGCGTCCCAAGTACCCTAATCATAAGTCCGTACACGTGTTCCTGCCCATTGCGGGAAGCGAGAAGCGTCCCCCCTGAACGACAAGCGCCAAACGCCAAAGGAGGCTTGCCACTCATGCGAGAAAGAGACTGCCCTCCATCCATGTGTTGACACAAGGTTGAGCATGGTCAAACTATGGGCGAACATCGTAAGCGAGAGCCTCATTTTGAAAAGGAGGCACTTCAGATCCGTGCAAGTGTTGCACGAATTGGGAACTCGGGTCACATGTTTGAGGATGTCCCAAGCGAGAGCCGCGTCTCAAAAACGACCGACCTCCAACGAATGCACACATGTTGAAACGAATGTACACGGCGCGGTAGCGATCGTCGCATTTTGAACACGCCCAGCCCTATATGGCCAGAACTGCTTGAAGCTTTTGTAATCGAATGTGCGCGGCGCGGAGGCGATCGCCGCATTTTGGAAGCGGTCAGCCCTCTATCATTGGAATTGCCTGAAGCTTTTAAACTCGAGTGACGACCAGCTCTCCGTCCTTCTGACTGCTGATGTTCAGCATCAGGGCCGTACGCTTGAAAGAAGTCTTGGGGGAAACGCCTGGCCCAGCCTGCGGACACTGGTGGCGCGGCAGGTGGAAAGTATGAGGGCGGAGGGGTGGAGAGAATACGGGAAGGGGGCGGAGAAGCAGAAGGGATGAGCAGGAGGGAAGGGAGGAGGAGGGGGAAGGGGAGGAAAAAGGAAGAAGAGGGAGGAGGCGGAGGAAGAGCTCCTCCTCCTCCTCCCCCTTCCCTGGACTGCCAGATAGCCAACGATAAGGCGAAAGAGGAAGGGGTGGGGCGGGCAGGAAAGGGGGAAAGGGGGGGAGAAATGCTGATCCGAACGCTCATGCTTATTCAATGTTTTCCTTTTTGTTTCTCGGCAGTCATCATCATCATCATCATCATCATCATCATCATCATCATCATCATCAGCATCATCATCATCATCATCATCAGCATAACCATAACCATCATCATCATCATTATCATCCTCAGCATCATTACCATCACCATCACCATCATCATCACCATCATCATCACCACCCGCATCATCATCACCACCATCATCATCAGCATCATCATCATCGTCATCGTAATCATCGTCATCATTGTCATCATCGCCATCGTCATCATCGCCATCGTCATCGTCGTCATCATCACCATCATCATCACTATCGTAACCAGTGCCACCACCACCACCGCCACCATCGACATCACCATGACCATCATCATCAGCATCACCAGCATCATCATCATCATCAGCATCAGCAACATCAGCATCATCATCATCAGCACCATGATATCATCATCATCAACACTACCATCATCATACTCATCCCCAGTATCATCCTCATCCTCATTAGCATCATCATCAAATTGTAGCATCATGAGGATCAGCATCATCGTCATCGTCATCGACGACATCATCACCCACACACCAGCATCATCATCAACATCATCATCATCTCCATCACCAACATAATCGTCATCATCGCACGCATGATGATCGTCATCGCCATCACTATTGTCATCACCATCACCATCATCATAATCACCATCGTCGGCATCACCATCAACACCATCATCAACAACATCTTCAGCAGCATCATCATCACCATCACCACCACCACCATCACCATCACCATCACCATCACCATCATCATCATCATCATCATCATCATCATCATCATCATCATCATCATCGTCATCATCATCATCGTCATCGTGATCGTCATCGTCATCATCATCATCGTGGTCATCATCACCACAACCGTCCAAAGACGCCGTGAGAGTCACACCGCGCTGCCAGCGGGCCCGCCCGCTCGACGGGGCTCCCTGGGACGCCCGCCCCGGCGGGCACGTGGCACGTCCTTCTGGCGCAGGGCCTCCTGGACGGTGATGTCCAGGACCCGGTCGTGAATCTCCGGGTAGAACAGCGCCGCGAGCTCTGCCTGACCCCCGCGTGGTCCACGTTTCAACGACAATCTTGCCATCGCTCGGACGTCCAATCCCCATGCGTGCGTACGTTCCGCGAGTTCTTCTAGGTCTCCAAGATGATCACATATGCTCCGCGATGATAGATATGTTCTGGTGCTGATTTAACGGGAGACAAACAAATGTCCAAGCGATGTCAAGCCACGGGGGGGTGCCTGGCCTCAACAGGACCCCCGACGTCAACAGGCCCCCCAGCCTGGGGCGGTCTCAACACCCAACCCTAGGGCGCGGAGCGCCCCAGGGGTTCCGGTGGAAGCGGCGCCGGGGTGTTGAGACCGCAACGGGCTGCTCTGGGGGGCCTGGTGGGTTCACCTGGGAATGCTCGGGGGGGCTGTCTGTGCGCAGCCCGCAACTTTACCAACCCGCTAGAGGAACCGAGTTGCCAGAAAAAACAACAAGGCTGTCTGTGCGTAGCCCGTTGTGTGCGCAGCCCGTTCCGCGCGGACTTTTTGGATCAGCGCTGGGGGGGCGCCGACACGGGGCTCCAATTGGTCACTGGCATTGCTGAGGGCTGGTCGGGCTGACCCCATATCGTTTTTGGGTGAGCGAAACCTTTGTTTGAAAACTACTGATCCTCCACATTCCTTTTCCCGACAACTCGCCCGAACAATCGCTTCCGGATGCATCAATCAGATGCCGCGACACAGGCCGAATGCTGAAACTGGGACAAATGGCGCTTTGCGTCATTCCCCGCTTGTGTTTCCTATGTGTTGTGGCACGCTGAAACGCGGTAAAAATGTCAACTGCCGTCTGGTAGGAAGTTGTACGATCATAACTCCCCATCCAAGCCGCACCTCGTTGCGTGCACCAGCTTTGCTCTTGGTTGGATTCCAACGTGGGTCTGTTATTATTGAAAGAATCATGAAGCAAACGTTGCAACACGGATGATGCCTATTCGTGCATATGCGGTCTGGTGAAGCGGGGCGGCATCAACGCGACGCCAAGGACCGTCGTGGAGTCGAGTCCTTGGCCTGGAAGCGCGCCGCGCACGACTACCCAGATCATGAAGTTCTGCAATCGGTCACTGTGTTCTGGGGGGGTGCGCGGACACGCAGAACACTGATCAGCTGAGCGTTAGCTCGCGCCCTCCTCATCCTCATGCCCCCCCCCTCCTCCCAATCTCCACTTTCCTCATGCCCTTCCGACTCCCCCCAGTCCTCATCTTGCCCCTCATCCTCTTTGTCAGCTCCCGCATATGCCAGTTCATGTCGTTCCTCGTCGTCTTCCTTCGCCGGATGATTTCTCCATCATCCACGCGTTTGCCCTCCTCCCTTCCTTTGCGCCCTAGTGCAAATAATTTAGGGAGCCCACAAAAGACGTACGCGCCCAGCTATGCACAAGAACACGGCCCCTCGATTCGCGAGACGGGCCGCGTGATACGAACATTTGTGCAATGCGTGCTCTCGAAACTAGCGTGGATTCATGTACATGTACGTCCTTCTTTCGCTCCTGATAGTTCTCCCCCCTCTTTCTGCCCCCCCCCCGCCTCTCTCCTCCTCGTGATGCTGACGCCGATGATGCCGCTCCTCCTCCTGGGTCCATTTCCTCCCTTTTCGTCCTGTCCCTTTCATCCCCGGCCCGTGCGCCACCCCTCCTCTCGATCCCTTTTTCCTCCCCATGGCCAAAATCCCCCCCCCCGGCGCGTTTGCCCTCCCAGACCACGGCCCTTTCCTGGACCAGCCGGGAGATCCGCGGAAGTTCCCGCCCAGTGACCACTCCGGCGAGCGGCGCGCAACATATGCGCAGCTGGATGCACGAACTGTGAACTTCGACCGCGTAGAACGCCTCTCCTGGACCAGCCGAAACAGAAAGGCGAAAGTTCCCGCCCAGTCAACGCCACCCGCGAAAGGCACACTCCAAGTACACAAATGGGAGCAAAATCTGCGAACACAGATCACGCCGCGATCTGTGTAAACAGTGGACCCACATACGCGATTCCACAATTGAAGACACCAGCTGTGCACACAGATCACACCTTGATCTGTGTGATTGGAAAAAAGTCGACGCCCGCCACCTCGAGGGCACTCCGACTTTGCCAGCCCAGGACCGACGTCGACGCGCTCAGCTAAGGGGGGATGCAAATGCACATCCTCGGCCCAGGGCGGCCCCGAGGGAGCTGTAAATGCACTCTTCCCTCGCCCAGTCCAGCCGCGCTGAAATGCGACGCCAAAGCGGCCCCCGACGGCCCCATGACGTCCGAAAAAAAGGCCCCGAAGGACCCCGAATAATGCCGCGGAGAACCCCGAGAACGCGAGAGGTGTCACATGTCATGGGCCTCTTTACTACCAAAGCTCCGCGCGTAGCCATACAGGCCGCTGCGCTGGCAAGGGGGCGGACCTAGCCGAGGGCGCTTATGCGTTGACACGTTCGCGATGCAACTGCGTTTGGCGGCCGCGCCCCCCGTGTTTAGGGTGCGCCCCGAACGCTCGCATCGGCGATCCCCTGTGTTCGGTTGCGCCGCCGCGCACGAATGTCGAGAGGGCGGTGTGCCGCTGACGCGGGCGCGCGGCACCAGGGGCTTCACTTCCCTTCTTCGAACGAGGGGGAGGGGCGAAGTAGAGCGACGGGCGGCGAAGCAGGGAGGCAAAGAGGAACAAGGAAAAACGGGGGACGTGGAAAAAGGCGCCCCCCCGCCCAAGCCGCGGGCGCTTTCGAGGCCATCCGCGGAAGAAAGGGGGAAAACGGAGCAAGGGCGAGGACGACGACTGGAAGCAAATTGTCTCGGTCCGCACATGGCCACCCGCTTGCGATTAGGGTTCGCGCGCTTTCTTCGAGGCGCTTCCAAGCCCACCCATACTCAATGCACTAATTACTCCAAGCTGTCTAAACGCACTGTCCTCTGCGCCCCCTCCTATGCGCTGGATTCCGGCTCCCGGGGCGCCCCGGGCGGCCGCGGAGCCCCCCCGGGGCCCCCCGAGCCTTCCGCGCTGGCCCGGGAGACCCCCAGGACGGTCCAAGAGGGCCAAGGGTCGCCGAAAGATCGCTCGAAAACGCCGGAGATGGCCACGAGACGGCGCGCCGGGCTTTCAAGGCGCCCTGAGAATCTTCCAAGAGGCCTCCCACGAGAACCCCCGAGGTAACAACCGTCGATGTTCATTGCATTTTGTTGCGGGATTTCGGCGCTCTCGCTTCTTCGGCTTCCCGGCGCTCCCAAGAGGCCCGAGAGGCCCCCAAGACATCCCCCAAACGGCCCGCGAGGCCTCCATGAAGCCCCAAGACGGCCTGAAGACGCCCCGAGAGGCGCCCAACCGGCCCCGGGGCGCCCCCAGGAATCTTTTTCTGCCCCCATCAAAGACTCCGACGGGCACTGCCAGGGCCCCCCCCCCGCCGCGCAGGCCGCGCGGAGGTCGGCCCACGTCGCTCTTCCGGCAGAACACCCCCACGTGGGCCGCAACCTCGCCGACTTCATCCGCGACGTGCGCCCCCGCGCAGGACAGGCTCCAGCAGCGCCGGGGGCGGCTGCCCCGTCTGCGGGCGCTGCCCGCGCAGAAGGCGGCCCCTCCTCTTGCGCTTCGAGCCCGCCCCTGAGTTGACGCCCGTCGGCGGGCGAAGCCCTGTGCGCGCCTTGCTGAGCCCATCTCGCCGCTGCGCCGCGCGGGCCCCGCGCGCTCGGCAGACCGCGCGCGGGCCGCAAACCTGCGCCACGCGCTGCCGCCTCTCGCCCATGGGCGAGAGGCGCCCCCAAAGGAGCTGCAGCTCCTCTGGGGGCGGCGCAATCAGCGCGGGCGTGGCGCTCGCCCCGCGGCCGCCCCCCCTGGGCGAGCGGCCCCTGTCCTCTCGCCGCCCGCTCGGGCAAACGCTGCTGCTGCTGCCGCTCGCTGCGGCGGCTGCTGAGGTCGGGGCCATCGCGACCGTCGCGCGCGTCGACGATGTGGCCCTCGTAGCCGTAGACCCGGCGGCCTGCAGCACCTCGCCCCGCGCCTGGCTCACCCGCGCCTCCAGCGAGCTGATCTGCTCGTCGGACATTGCCAGACCCGCGAAGCGCCATGGCGACGGCCTGCGCGCCGCTTCCCACGGCTTCTTGCTTCTTGCGCACGCGTGCCGTGGCTGCTCCCTTGCCGCGGCGTGCACTCACCTGCCAGCGCCCCCTTTGCTAGGCTGGCTGACCTGGGGCTCGGTACCGCAGCGCCGCCGCTGGACTGGCGGGCGAGGGGGGGCGTCAGGCCACTCACCTTGCATCTCCTGGTACCGCCAGCCCACAATCTGCGCCGCCCACCTCACGCGTGCCCGAAAACCCGTCAAGGCCTCCTGCTTGCCGTAACCGTTGTCCTTCTCGGCGCCCTGCTTTGCAAGCAGGTCCGCCGCCTCGTTGCCCCGCGCAACCTGCCTCTCCAGGCCCTCCGGCTGTCCTATGGCCTTATTGGAACGGTGCGTCCTGACAAGCTGCACACAGTTGATGTCTAGGCCTGTGCCAACCAACGCATGCAAATCCGTCGCTACAGGTCAGCGCGCGGACGCTTTCAGCAAAGACACCACCACGCGCCGCGAGCTCGACCGCCCAAGATGCCCTCGTGATCCGTGTAGATCCTGCACGGCGGCAACACCACCTCTAACGTCTTCCGGAAGGCCCGAAACTCCGCTCGTTTCAAGGTCGCCCGACCGTTGCGCTGACACGGTATCGGCCTCCACAGTTGCACACGCGGCTGGCCTTCCTCCGTGATGGCCATGGCCGCCCAGTCCGCCTGAGCCCAGCAAGTGATGCCGAACTTCGTCCCATCACAGACAATGCCGCCCGTCAGGAAGTCGTCGCCACCCTCGATTACGTCATAGTGGTGCTGGTCCTCCTTGGCCGCTAGAGAACGCCAATCTGCAAAAGGTCGCGCACCAACCCACGCGTCCACAACAGATCGTCAACCTGCTGCCCCGCCACATGCTGCCAATCCGGTTGCCCGCGGAGCCGCACCTCTCACATGCGTGGGCGCTGGAAATACCTGTGGTGCGGCGTGCCTGCTGCTTCACCGCAGCCCAAGCGGATATCCGTGGGCGTAATGTTGCACCCCGATAGCTTGCTCATCGCCCAATTGCCGCACGACGCCACCTTGCGTGCCGCGTTCTTGGCGTGCTTTGGAAAACCCTCGCCGCAATCTGCGCAACCACAAGCTGTAGCCCGGGTGCCGGCGCCAACGTCTGGTACTCCTCCTGTTCCGCCCAACTCTGCCACAAGACCGCCTCCACATCAGTACGCAACAAGGCTGCCACGTCGGCAGGGCATACGCCCGTCATGTCCACCATCTCGCATTTATGCGTGATGAGGGTCTGCCAATTTGGCCAAGTCCACTCCGCCCTTCGCAAGGACGTGATGACCGCACCCGCTGGTCCCTTTACGCGACTCCACTGCTGATGTATGCCCACCATCACCTGCTGCCTCTTCCAGGCGTCCTGCAACAGCTTTCCCAGAGCCGCCTGCGCACAGCTGCCCCTTGAGCGCCCTCTGGCCGTAGTCTCTGAGACGCACTACATCCCCTGCGGTCTCGGGCGCAGCGGCTCCTAGCATCCTCTTGAGGCGACAAGAAGCCCCAGGAGACCCCAAGGAGGCCCCTCAAAGGCCCCCCCCAAACGGCCCCCAAGAGGCCTCAAAACTCAAAACTGCCTTCAAGAGGCCCCCGAGAGGCCGCCCACGAGATTCCGGCGAACATCCACTAGGCTTATCACCCACAACCCAAACACGGCGGCGGGATTTGCCGTGGGCAGCTAGATAACATCAGTCATATGCCGTGAAGCGGGCCGAGCGCTGAAGGTGGGGCAAGTGGAAAGGCTGCGTCCGTCTCAGCTTGTTCCTTCTCCATTGCTCATTTGTTGACGCGCGGTGCCTATCACGGCTGAACCCGACTGAATGAGCCCGCGCGCTCCTTACTCAATGAGCGGGAGACGTGCGGGGACCTTAATACTTGTGGGTTCTGAATCATGGCATGGCTGCCAGCGGTTGCCCCAAACAATCAGTTTATGCGCGTTGGATGTCCAAACTTTGTCGTGAAAGTTATGTGGTGCAATATTCCCAGTGCAAGCTATGCAATGGAAGCTATGACGTGCAATATATGTTGTGCAAGCTGGGGTGCATGCAGCGTGGTGTTATCTGTGGGGTGCTCTCTGTGCGGTGCTAGCTGGAAATGGTGCACCTTATGTAATGCACGGGCGCCCACGACCAAGCACCGTCCGGGAACCAGCCGAAACCTTGAGGTATCCATCGCACTCCCTGCAGAAGACGAAGTAGGAACCCCTTAAGTGCAAGAACTGCCTGGGGATGGGCAAGCGACCGCTACAAGACACACATGACAACGTGTTCCCTCTCTTTCAAGCTCGTGAAAACTCATTTGAAGCTTCAATTCAGCACGGGTCTGCTATTCAGCATGCAAGTGGCTGTAGAACGCTCCTGATTCGGGTCGCTCCATATTCATTTGACAGTCTCTTTCGTATCACCGCTTCGCGCTCAAATGGGTCGCAATGCACTTCAAGTTGCTTCCCATCATCAGCACCACAACTACCATGATTGCCATCAGCATCGTCAGCGTGATCATTAAGACCACCTTTACCATTATCGACACAACCAGCCTCACAATAACCATTATCCTCAGAATCACCATCGTCATCATCATCGCCGTCGTCATCATCCTCATCGCCACAAAAAGAACCACCATCACCATCAACATCATGCTCACCAACACCATCACCACCACTGTCATGACCACCGCCAATATCATCAGAATCGCCATCGACATCGGCCGTCGTCATCATCATGATAATCACCACCACAATTACCACCATCACAATCACAATCACAATCACAATGGTCGTCATGATCGTCGTCATCATCACCAGCATCATCACAATCACCACCACATCATCATCACCATCACCACCAACATCACCATCATCATACGTTTCATTGTCGTCGACATCAACAATATCAGCATTATCATCATCATCATCATCATCTGTATCAAGACCGTTTTCGCCATCATCATCATGCTCATGACCATGATCAACATCACCATCAACATCGCCATCACCACCATCATCGTCATCCTCATCAACATCATCATCAACAACGGCATCATCATCATCATCATCATCATCACCGTCGTCGTCGTCGTCATCGCAATCATCAGCATCATTATCATCGTCGCCGTCGTCATCGTCGTCGTCAAGTCCCGCTCCGCCGAAGAATCACAAACCATCGGAGCCGTTATCGTCGTCGTCCTCATCATCGATATCCCTCCCTGAGCAGCCTTGTCCAATTGCTGGTCACCATCCATGTCTGCTGCTGCGAACTTCGCCTTTTCGACCTCCTTGCGGACCTCCATATCATGGGCCTCCGAGAAGCCGGATGGGGGAGGGAGAGGACGGAATTGTGTAGGAGGGCAGCGGCCAGAAGCAAGGATACAATGTTCGATGTGTAATCGCATCATGCGTCAGACGAGTAGGATGCGAAGCATGGGGGTGGGACGAAAAAGGCCAGAAGGGGAGGAAGATGGTGCCAAAACGGGTGAGGAGTGTACCGGCATGGGTGGCGGGGATCATGCGGGCGCCACCGTTTGGGCCTTGGTGGAGCTCCCTATGGGGCCACGACACGTGTGAGGGGTGTGCCGACATGTGTGGAGGGCACGCGTGCGGGCGGCACCATTTGGGCCGTGGGTGGAAGTCCCTACGGGACCACGAAGTGTGTGAGAGGTGCGCCGACATGAATTGGTGGGGACGCCCGAAATGGGTGGCGGGGACGCAAGCGGGCGGCACCATGTGGGCCTTGGGTGGAGCTCTCTATGGGGCCACGGAACGTGTGAGGGGTGTGCCGACATTGGTGGTGGGGGCGCACGCGGGCGGCACAATTTGGGCCTTGGGCGGAGCTCGCTATGTGGCCACGAAACGAGTAAGGGGTGTGCCGACATGTGGACGGGACGCATGCGAGCGGCACTAATTGGGCCTTGGGTGGAGCTCCCTAAGGGGCCACGGAACGTGTGACAGGTGTGCCGAAATGGGTGGCGGGGATCATGCGGGCGGCACCTTTGGGCCTTCGATGGGGCTCCCAATGGAGCCACGATCCGTGCGGGGGGGGCCGAACTGGACTTGCAGATGCAGAGGCAGGGATGGGATGAGGGAGGAGGGGGAGAGGAGGGGAGGAGAGGAGGAGAGACGCGGGGCGCTATCTCTTCAAACATAAAAACCTGAACAACTGAAACCGCAAGGTACTGCCCATTAAGATGTGACATCGGAGGTGCAATAATGTTTCTCTCCATCGCCAGTGCGCGTGTTGTAGCGGTCAGGTTAGCGTTGGCGGGCATACCAGCGTGCGGCCTGCGCTCAGGCAGGCCTGTCGGCAAAGGCCCAGCCTACTCAACACGCCGCTCGCCACGCGAGGGGAATGCAAGAGAGTGAAAACTCACGAGTGGAAAGCGTATCCATATCCGCGTCCTCGCGGTCTGGATTCGGGTGCGCCATCCCGTGCATACGCGGTCGCATGGAAACGTTACACGCGGGGCATCAACAAAAAAATACAAATATGTCCATTCGGTCGCAGCCCGAAGGTTCGGCCGGCCAGGCCGTGTATATGAATCTGTGTTCCGCCCACGTACAACACCTGAACGTGGAAAACAAAAAGGGATGACGCTGAAGGAAGGACAATGGGAAAGAAGTAAGGGGATGATAACCGCCCTGTCCTCCCCGTCATTGTTGTTCCTCTTGCTCCTCTCCCTCAAGTTCATATTCCTGTTCCTACGTAGTATCGTATCTTCTCTTCTCTTCTCGTCTCTTCCTCCTCCTCCTACTCCTCAGGACTCCTCCTCCTCCTCCTCCTCCTCCTCCTCCTCCTCCTCCTCCTCCTCCTCCTCCCCCTGGCTCACCTCGCTGATGTTGCGAACCTAATCCTCCCTCATGGGGCTCTTTCATCAGGCGGTGTTTGGCCGTAGTGGGCCCATGCCAGCCGCATTGGAATCTGATTGGACCCCACGCGCGGCCCTTTTCAAGCGTTCGTGGGCAGCACTGGGCGCTCTGACAGTTATCTTGCTACCTTTCGGGCGGGCGGGCGTTCCCTGGGAGGCAATCTGGGCCGACGGGGAGCGCCTCGGAACTGCCTCGGAGCAGTAGTGGGCTGTCCCAAATGACAGCTGGGCACCTCTGCGGCAACCTTGACCTCCTGGAAATATGTGCTGCCTGGTCGCCTCTTCGAGGCGTGGCGGGCCCTCCCAGAAGCTTCTAGAGCCCATGGCGCAAGCATCTCCAGCGAACGCACTAGGAACCATCCAGGTGAACTCGTGCCGTGTGCCAACGTGCCCCCGTGGCACGAAGTGGAGTGTCCCCAGGTTCTCTGCTCAATTCCTCTGTTCAATTCCCGATTCTCTATATGGGTCCAAACTCCAAATTCACACATCTCCTAGAGCTCCCCTCGTCTTCTCGCGTCAAAGCAAGCCAACGGAACTCCAAGAGGCCGCCAAGATGGTCCAGGAGGACCCCGAGTCGCCGAAAAATCTGTGCAAGACGCCGACAATGGCCACAAGACGGCCCAAGAAGCTGCCGAAACGCCCCGAGAGAGTTCCAAGAGGCGTCGAAGGAGGCCCCTACGAGGTCAAAACCATGCCATTAGTGTTTAAAGCGATGTTTGAGTTTCTCTACGCTTCGACTTCTGGCGCTCCAAGACGTCCCCTGGGGCCCCCACGACCGCCCCAAGACGGCCCCACTGTCTGGGCACCTCTGCGGCGACCTTGACCTCCTGGAAATATGTGCTGTCTGGTCGCCTCTTCGAGGCGTGGCGGGCCCTCCCAGAAGCTTCTAGAGCCCATGTTGCAAGCATCTTCAGCGAACGCAGTGGGAACCATCCTGGTGAACTCGTGCTGTCTGCCACTGTGCCCCCGTGGCACGAAGTGGAGTGTCCCCAATTCCCCTGCTCGATTCCCCGAGAATCAGTCCTCAAACCCGCCGGATCCTCTTAGGGGCCCCGACCCCAAATGCACAAAATCTCCTGGAGCTGTCCGCGTCTTCTCTCGTCAAGGCGGACCAACAGAACTGCAAAGGGCCCCTAAGATGCTCCAGGAGGGCGACCTCAGGGAGCCTCCGGCGCCCCAGCAAGGCCACCGGGGCCCCTGGTCCTGCCATGCCCTGTCGAGGCCCGGTCCCTGGGCGCCCGGGCCTCGTGCCAGGGGATCTATCTATCTATCTATCTATCTATCTATCTATCTATCGATCTATGAGAGAGCGTGATCCACCGCCGCTTTACTGTGGAAAATTGCCAACCTTTTCCTCCGGAGCCCGGGGTTCCCCCCCCCCCCCTCCGAAAATCCCCCCCCTGCTGGACCCCCCCCCCCCCCTCCCCTTCCCCCGGCAAAACCCCTCCCTCCCCTACCCCCCCCCCCTCCTCCCCCCTCCTCGAAAACCGGGGTGGGTCACTACCGGTTGTAAACCCCTCCCCCCCCCCCCCCCCTCGGATCCGAAAACCGGGGGGGGTCACTACCGGTTCGAACCCCCCCCCCCCTTCGAAAACCGGAGGGGGTCACTACCGGTTCGACCCCCCCCCCCCCCCCTCACCGCCAGCAAACGACTCCCGGTCCCTACCACCGTCCGCATCACATCCCCCACTGTTGTTCCCAGCACCACTGTCCTCACCACCACTGTCCCCACTGGTTCCACCACCGTCCCTACTGTCCCCACCAGTGCCCCCACCACTGTCGCACTGTCCCCACTGTCCCCACCACTGTTCCCACCACGGTTCCACTCTCCCCACTTTCTCCACGGCCCCAACCACTGCCCGACTATCCCCACTGTCCCCACTGTCCCACTGACTCCTCCGCTGTCCCACTGAGCTGTCCCACTGTTCCCACCACTGTCCCCACTGTCCCCACCACTGTCCCCACTGTACCTCTGTCCCATTGTCCCACCGCCGTCCTCGCCACCGCCTTCACCACTGTCCCCACCACCATTGTACCCTCCACTGTCCCACTGTTTCCACCTCATTCCCACTGTCCCCACACCACTGTCCCCACCACCACCGTCCCCACCACTGTCCACTGTCCCCCCCTGTTCCCACCATTGTCCCCACCACTGTCCCCACCACTACCGTCCCCACCACTGTCCCACTGTCCCACTGTCCCGCTATCCCCACCACTGTCCCGCTGTCCCCCCCACACCCCACCACCGTTTTTATCCGGTTTCTTTTCGGGTCTTCGCTGGGGGGGGGGGGGGGCGAACCGGTAGTAACCCCGCCCTTTTCATGATGAGCTGGGGGGGGGGGGGGGGGGGTTCGAACCGGTAGTGACCCCCCCCCAGTTTTCCGGAGGGGGGGGGGTGGGGTTCGAGCCGGTAGTGACCCCCCCCCGGTTTTCCGCCAGCAGCGGTAGAACACGCTCTTTCCTATCTATCGATATATATTTATATATAAACCTATATAGATAAGAGAGAGAGGGAAAGAGAGAGAGAGAGAGAGACAGAGACAGAGCGTGATCCACCGCCGCTTTGCTCTGGTAACTTCCCCCCCTCTGAAAATCTCCCCCCTCCCTGCTCGAACCCCTGAGCCCCACCAGTGCCCCCACCATTGTCGCACTGTCCCCACTGTGCCACTTTCCTCACCACGGTCCCACTCTCCCCAGTGTCCCCAGTGTCCCCACAACTGTCCCACTGTCCCAACTGTCCCCACCACTGTCCCACTATCCCCAGTCCCCACCGCTGTCCCACTGTGCTGTCCCACTATCCCCACTGTTCCCAGTACTCATTACTGCCTCATTGTCCCACCACCGTCCTCACCACCGTCCTCACCACTGTCCCCACCACCACCGTCCCCACCACTGTCCCAACGTCCCCAGTCCCCAGTACTGTCCCACTGTCCCCTCGCCACTGTCCCCACCACCACCGTCCCCATCCCACTGTCCCCACTGTCCACACCACTGGCCCACTGTCCCCACTGCTCCCACCACTGTCCCCACAAGTGCCCCCACCACTGTCGCACTGTCCCCACTGTCCCCACCACAGTCCCACTGTCCCCACTGTCCCCACGGTCCGCACCACTGTCCCACTGTCCCCACGGTCCCCACCACTGTGCCACTGTCCCCACTGCCCCCACCGATGCTGTCCCACCGTCCGGAGTGGGGCGAGGCGAGGGGGGGGATTGACCCCCCCCCAGTTGTCTGCCAGCAGCGACAGAACACGCTCGTCATAGTTCGCTTGATCTCTAGATGTATACATATATATAGATATGTGTGTAAGGTTCGTTTGATCCCTAGTTTTCATCGGATGTCACTACATTGCCGAATTGAAATCATATACAAAACGGCCTCGGAGTCCTAATCGTACTTTCCCAGCCACTTGCAGACCATGCATATGGGGTGACACACGCATGGACATCCACACATGAACACACGTGAGCACACAGCCATGGGGTTCAACACGCAAGAGGCTCCACACGCACATGGGCTCCGCACGCGTAGTTTTCCCCACGACTGTTCAGCCAAGACATTCCCTCCCCTAGCCCGCCTTCCCTGCTCCCCTCATCCAAATACTTCAAGCCACTGGTCTCATCTCTTCCTCTCCTCGCCTCCTCTCCTCCCACATTCCTCCTCCCTCCTCCCCCTCCTCCTCTTCCTCCCGCCTCACATCCTCCTCCTCGTACCCCTCCCTCTTCCTCCCCTTTCATTCCACACTCCTCCTCCCTCCTCCTCCTCCTCCTCCTCCTCCTCCTCCTCCTCCTCCTCCTCCTCCTCCTCCTCCTCCTCCTCCCTCCCCCTCCCCCTCCCCTCCCCCTCCCCCTCCGCCTCCTCCTCCTCCTCCTCTTCCTCTTCCTCCTCACGCTGGCAATTCGGTGGAGACCTTGCTTTGGCCAGCTTTCTGAAACAAATGACCTCTGGCCAAACCACCCCCGCCACGGCCACGGCGGAAAGGCCACCCGAACGCTGCTGCTCCGAGCAGGAACTCGCCGAGCGAAACGCGCGATTCCATGCGGGGGGGGGGGGGGGGGGGGGGGCACTCTGGAAAATAGTACAAAAAGATGGGGCATGAGGTTTGGGCTTGGGAGCTGGTTCTGAATTCAAGGCAGGCTGAAGAGAAACAACATCTGGCACCTGGGCAAACACTAGCCTGCCAAGCGTTTGCTTGTCGGTGCCTGCTCCATGCTGGCTGGGCAGCAGGCCTAGCGATAACTGCTGTTTCAGATTGCTATCTGATCAATCACCAAAAGGTCAATCATGAGCAGGGTTATGATGATGGTGGTGATGATGATGAGGAGGAGGATGAGGATGATGATGCTAATGATGATGGCGATTACGACGTCGATGATGGTGATGATGCTGATGAGGATCCGGATGAGGAAGAGGATTGTGATGATGGTGCTGATGAAGCCGGTGATGATGATGCTGATGATGATGATGCCGATGGTGATGCTGCTGCTGATGCTGCTGTCGCTGATGATGTTGATGACCATGATGAGGCTGATGATGCTAACGATGATGATGGTGATTGCGATGAGGACGTTGCTCTCGATGACGATGACGATGACGATGGCGTTGGTGTTGGTGATGGTAATGACGATGACGATGACGATGATGATGATGATGCTGATGATGATAATGATGATGATGCTGAGGCTGATGACAATGCTGCTGCAGCTACTGCTGATGATGATGAGGGTGAGGATGATGCTGCTGCTACTGATGCTGATGCTGATAATGCTGACGATGCTGATGAAGATGAATGGTGATGATGGCGATGACGATGATGATGAAAAGGAGGAGGATTATGATGCTGAGGCTGATGATGGTGGTGATGATAATGCTGACGATGGTGATGATTAGGAGGAGGAGTGAGGAGTGGGACGAGTGAGGAGTGCGGGAGAGGAGGAGGAGGAGGAGGAGGAAAAGGAGGAAGAGGAGGAGGAGGACGAGGAGGTCTCGCCCCCCCACCCCTCCCTCGCACCGCCGAGCAACAGCAAGGCATACCTGGGCCGCCCCAAGGGCTGACCTCCTCGTCGTCGCTCGCATCGCCCTGCCCATGGAAGTCGTCCAGGTGCTCCTCTCGAGGGGTGGGGGAATATGTCGCTCTCGGCACGCTCCTGCGAAGAGGCGGAAGAGGAGGGGGGGCGGGAGGGGCCCATATCTCCCACGTATTGGACAATTTCATGCGGTCTTTGTTGAATTGTTGTCGGCCTCTGGGGGGCCCTCGCTGGGCTGGAAAAACAAGACGTCAGATCTCTGGGGAAAAGGGGGGAGGAGGTGAAGGGGGACGAGAGGGATGGAGGTGATGGGAGGATGCAGCGCTCAGCATGCTCTTGCCGAGGGCGGGAGGGAGGGAAAGGAGGAGGGAGGGAAAGCGGAGGCCACCAGAGAGCTCGCAAGAATGTGGTCAACAGCTTCGGCGGTATTCGCGAGGATAATATTAAAAGGGATGAGGAAGCACAGGAGGGCCAGGAAGGAGGCTCGAGCAGTAGATGAGGAGAGAGGAAGCAGGTTATGATGGGAAGGGGGCGCGATCTCTGCGAACTCTGCTCATAGCGTGGGTAAGTGAGTCAGGAAGATGGGGAGAGGAAAAGAGAGAGAGGGGGGAGGCGCGAGAGTCGGGGGAGCGGACTGAGGCTGGAGGGAAGGACCCTTGCTGCCAAGGACAGCTTCGGCTTGGATCCACGGCGATGACGTGGGAGCCAGGGGAGCAGAGTGAGGCTGGACGGAGGGACCCTTGCTGCAAAGAGTAGTTTCGGCCTGGATTCATGGCAATGAGTAGTGCCAGCACCCGCCGTAGGCCTTCGTAGGTTTTAAAAGCCGTCTCGAGAACTGGATTGGGGGATGTGTTTGAACAAACGAGGGAATCATCGGGGCAGGATGTCCCTTCGGCTCGCGAACCCTGTCGGCGTGTGTGAGGGGCTTTTCCGTTCGAGACGGGTTTTGCCGTTGGAGTCGTCGTCTCCGTTCTCCTCTATTCCATGTGCCTGGGCCTCTTCCTCATACGCGCCGTCCAAAGCAAAATTGAACATCGGAGTGGAATCGAGGGGACCCCTTCCCTTTGATACCTTCCCCGCGCCGGGGGGGGTCCCAATGGGGGGTCCTGGAGGGGTCCCAGGGGGGTCTCAGGGGGGCCCCGGGGGGGTCGCCACCCAAATCGCACCAGCCGTCTGGGCGCACGTGGTCGGTCTAACGAGATTCCTCCTCCCTCTTCAAATAAAGTCTCTTCCCCTACGGGGAGGGGTTGATCACTGTTCCCTATTAATATACACCCCGTCCCCCAGGCGACTGGGAGCCAACCAGGGTCAATGCGAGCACCCCCCACCATCCATTGTAAACAATACAAACACACACACACACACACACGCACGCACGCACGCACGCACGCACGAACGCGCACACACGCACACACACACACACACACACACGCACGCACGCACGCACGCACGCACGCACGCACGCACGCACGCACGCACACACGCACACACGCACACACGCACACACGCACACACGCACACACGCACACACGCACACACGCACACACGCACACACGCACACACGCACACACGACCACACGCACTCACGCACACACGCACACACGCACACACACACACATACACGCACACTCGCACACATGCGCACACGCGCACACGCGCACACGCGCACACGCGCACACGCGCACACGCGCACACACGCACACACGCACACACGCACACACGCACACACGCACACACGCACACACGCACACACGCACACACGCACACACGCACACACGCACACACGCACACACGCACACACGCACACACGCACACACGCACACACGCACACACGCACACACGCACACACGCACACACGCACACACGCACACACGCACACACGCACACACACACACACACACTCTGCCCCCAAATTCGGAGCATGCGCGGCGAACCCGATGCGGCCTCCCCCCGACCATCCCTGTCAAACAAAAATACATAATACATTTGGCGGCGGCGGCTGCGGCTGCGGCGGGGGCAGCGGCTGTGGCGGCTGCTGCGGTGGCGGCGGCGGTGGCGGCGGCGGCGGCGGGGGCGGCTGCGGCGGCGGCGGCAGCGGCTGTGGCGGCGGCGATTCGACAGCAGGGGCGGCGGCGGCGGCGGCGGCGCGGCGGCGGCGGCGGCGGACAGTAGCGGCGGCGGCGGCGGCGGCGCGGCGGCGAAGGCGGCGGGCGGCGGCGGCGGCGGCGGAGTCGCCCCCAGAAGCTGCCCATCCAAAGTCGACTGCTGAATATGCTGCGGCTCGGGCCAGGCTCGGGTGCTGCGCATGTGTTGGCGGGGCGGTTGGAATGAGCGAGACGGCTTGCGGGCGGGGAGGGGGTATTGACCCCTCCCCCGGCCCTTTCGCCTGGACTGTTTTAAACAGGGGTTTCGCGAGGTGTTCGGGCGTCCAAAACGGCCTCGGCGAGGAAACCCAACTCATTGGTTTTACCCAGGTGTTGGCCCCATCTTGCCGTCTTTGGGGGGGAACGTTATACCATCTCCTCCTTTGATCGATGACCTTCAAGATGGCCCCAAGAGGCTTTCCAGGGCTCCCAGGAGGGCCCTAAGGGAGCCGCAAGAGGGCCCCAAGAGGGTCCCAAGAGGGCCTCAAGATGCACCCGAAAAAGGCCCCCAAGAGGCCCACGAACGCCCTCAGAGAACCCAGGATGACCTCCCAAATGTGCCCAAGCTAGCTTAAAATGGTTCCCAAGATGTCCCACAAAGCCCCAATACCGCTCCAAGAGCGCTCCAAGAGAGCCCAACGGGTTGCCGGCTCACAAAGGGGAGCTGAGTTTGGGACCCCCTCCATCCTGCAATCGATGGCATCCAAAATGACCCCAAGAATCATTCCAGGGTTACCAAGCGGGTTCCAGGAGAGCCCCCCAAACTCCCAGGGAACACTTGCAGCAGCAACAGCAGCCGCAATAATAACTCTAGATGGTTTCATGATTCCTCGTCCGCGTCGTCCATCCTAATTCTCGTCCTCCTCGTCCTCGTCCTCATCCTAATCCTCGTCCTCCTCGTACTCATCGTCCTCCTCCTCGTCCTCCTCCTTTTCTCCTCCTCCTCTTCCTCCTCCTCCTCCTCCTCCTCCTCCTCCTCCTCCTCTCCCCCTCGCCCCCACGCGGCACCCAGGGATGGCCCAACGAGGGCTTCCAAGGCCACCCCTTTGCTCGCTCTGTTTCCCTAGATGTGTCTCTTCGTCCCTTTTCCAATCAGTTCTGAAGGCCAGGGTTTCTGAATGGGCTGGTGGGTAGACTTTTTGTTCGCGAGCGCGCAAGAAAAAACAGGCGCCGTCAAGAAACGCGGCTAACGAGCAACGGGCTCAATGCCGCGCAAAAGCGCACAAGAGCGAGCTACGCTGCGGCTCGAGCGGGGGGCCGGGCTGGTGGGGATATTTGTTCGATCGCGACCGTAGCGACAAATCGCTCGGCGTCAAATCGAAACGCGGCAGAAAAGCTGGTGGGGATACTTTTTGGTCTGCGGACTCGCGAAGCAGGTCGGAAGCCGTCCGAACACTAGTCCGGCCGCGACGAGGCAGCAAGAAAAGAGAGGCAAGCGAAGCGAGCGCGCTGGCTGCCACTCAGAAGAAGAGCCAACAAGGAAACTCCCAACCCAGTGGCGTGGAGATCCTGGTTGCGACCAGCAAGTAAGCGCAGCCAAAATGGCGCGGCGGCGCGACCATAAACACGCAGAGGTCCACTACTCGGCATGAGTCGGCACAAGGCACCGTCAGAGACGAGCAGGACCGACAGGCACACCTGGACGACGTCCGTGTCGTAGGCGACACAGCTGCATCGTGTCAGCGCAAGAATGAAGAGGGGCAGCCTCGTCACAGATAGGACTGCAAACGGCAGCGCTGGTGACGATACGCGAAGCGTGAAGAATACGTTTTCCCCCCGCGCCGCGGCCCCCGCTCCGGCCCCGGCCCTGGCCCCCGCTCCGGCCCTGGCCCTGGACCCAGACACGGGCCCAGCCCAAGGGGGCCGCAGCCCGGGTCCCCGCCTGGGCGCCCCGGCCCCGGCCCTGGCCCCTGGCCCCAGCCCCGGCCGTGGCCCAAGCCTCGGCCTCGGCCCCAGCCCTGGCCCAGCCGCGGCTGCAGCCCAAGCCCCAACAGAGCCCAAGAGGCTCCCAAGAGAGCCACAAGGAAGGCTCCAGAGCGTCAGCGTCGTCGTCGTCGCCGTTGCCGCCGTCGTCGTTGCGGTCCCCCTTCAGGGTCGGCGGCACCGGCCGATAGGCTTTCCCAATAAGGATATCATCGGGCCAGGATATCCCTTCGGTTTGCGATTCTCTCGCGTCTCACCCTCCATGTGCATGTACGTACGTACGTGCGTATGTAAATGTACTTGCGCCACCTTGCCTTGGTACGCTGAGGCGTGGAATAATGCCCAATGCTGCCTGTCAGGAATTTTCTAAGGAACCCCCCGCCCTCCGTCCCCCACAGAGTGGACTGCACCACCCCTCCTCCCGAGTGTCCCCGGGCGGCTACGTATGCCGCTTCCCTGCCATGTGACTGTTCAAGGGTTCCACGACGGACATGGCAGGCCACCAAGGCCGCCAAGGCGGTCTCATAGGCCTCCAGGACGGCCCAAAAGGCCTCCAAGCCGGCCCAAGAGTGCTCTCATGGAGCCTCCAGCAGAAGCCCGAAGGGGTCCACAGAATTAGTCTCCGAAATGTGTTGAAGGATGTCCGTATTCTCACCGTTTCGAGCTTACGTCGGCTCAGAACAGCCCAAGAAGCCTCCAAGACGGCATGAAGGCGGTCCACGAGGGCACCAATATGGCCCTAAGACGGCCTCCGAAGGTGCCACGATGGCCCAAGAGCGGCCCGAGAGGACCCCAAGACGGCCCAAGAAGGCGCCCAGGTAGCCCTCAAGGTCCCCACAGAGAGCCCCAAGACGACCAAGAAAGGATCCAACATATGGACTCTAAAAGCGCCCATATGGCCTAAAAGCGCCCTCAGACAGCCCAAGGAGTCCGCAAGAGCCCCCGAGTAGCCCCCAAGGCGCTGCCAAAAGGCCCCAAGAGGCCCCCAAAAAACCCTCAAGAGACTGCCAGTAACTTCAGGATGCCCGAAGTGTCACACGTGACGGCCTCTCGTGCCCCCTCACATAGTCGCCACCCAACATGCTGGACTGGCACGGTTGCGGGACTTGCAGCAGGCAGCTGGATGTCTATACTTCAACGGGACAACTGCGGGACGAACTACTTGACAACGGCGAGGCACCCTACGCGACGGCCTACGGCACAACGCCGCGGGCATCCGCGCGACACACGCAGAACATGTTGTTCGATCTGGTACTAGCCACGGCCGACGCATCATCGCGCTCGCAGCTTCGCCTCGCCCGCAAGTGCGACGCGAGCCGAAGCCGAAACCGCATTCCAAAGCAAAGTCACTTCGCTGTCGACCCCCAACCCAAGAGAACCCAACATCGAATCGATAAGCCGGATCGGCGATTGACATCGGATCGGCGAACATCGGCAGCCGTCGGCATGGTAGTAAAGGCCCTCATTGTAAAATTTGGATCCACATCGGATTCCGATGTCGAATCGGATCGTAATCGGATTCCATCGAAATCGAGTTGAACCGAATCGGATGAGCTGTTACAAGCCCTGCCTACCTCCGGTATCGATCCTCGTCAGGCCCACCCTGAGCTTGATATCGCTGTATGTTGGCGGCGCGCAGAGGGGGGTAGAGGCAGGGGGAAAGGCTTCTTGCAAGGAGGCTGCTTCTTAGAAGGCGCATGCCCTACACCTTTACGCGTGGCCGATTCCAGCTGGCCCAAGTATCTCCCTGATCACGAGCCCAGAGCAAGAGCCCCTGCGGAACGCTGTGTGCCCTCGGTGCTGGAATGCCTTCCCACGAACTGGCGGTCCGTCTGGCAACGTCGGAGCAACCTGCACCGAGCGATCCATGAATTGACGAAGTGCTGCACCCAACTGCGACAACACAGCGGGCAATCCAACCGCTCTTGACCGCGATCGAGACGACACAAATGGCCTCTTGAGGCATCGATCACACGCATACTCCGACCCTCCGGTTCCAACCTACCTGCGGCAGAAAAACAACAAGCAGAGGCATCCTGCAACGAGACCTTGCCGTCCTTCGAAGTGTCTATCTCTTCCATGATTGCCTCGATGTCTCTTGCCGCCATCGCCTGTGTCGCCGTCGCTCTCGGGCGAACGGGAAGACACGAATCCAAGGTATGCAGCACCGAGGCCGGGCAAATGCAGGTGGTGGAACCTCGTTGGCCAAAAGGCATCTTGTCCCACTGAACCACCACACTCAAGAAACCCATCCTCACACCACCAACATATATCTCGCCTTCCAGGTTGCGTCGCAGAAGAAACAAAGGAACAATTGATCATCAACTCTCGGAGCTCCGCGCGGAATTCTTCGATCTCAAGGGCTCCCGACTTCGCGCTTCGCGCTTCGCGCTGCGCGAACTGCGAATAACTTCGCGATCTCGCGCCGCCTCCCAGGGGAGAAGAGGAGGATGCGGGATCGGAGCCGAACCGCGAAGCGCGAAGCGCGAATAACTTCGCGCCCTCGAGGGCGCCCTTGGATCTGCACTGAGGAGCCCCATGGCGCCGCCCTCGGCGCGCTACGCGCGCCAGAGGAGGGGGGCCCAGTGGCCCAGCGCCGATCCAAGATCGCCGCGCGGACCTCCGGGAGTTCATGCCCGTGCCGTGTCTCGTCATGCCAGCACGAGAAAGCGACAACGACGACGACGAATACGACGACGAAAACGAAGACGAAAACGAAAACGAAGACGACGACGACGACGACGACGACGACGACGAAGAATACGACGACGAATACGTCGACGACGACGACGACGACGACGAAAACGAAGACGACGACGACGACGACGACGACGACGACGACGACGACGACGACGAAGACGACGACGACGACGACGACGACGACGACGAGTGGCGGGGCGCTGTGCCGCCCCAGCCCTGAGCGGCGCAAGTGGCAAGCGCCTGGAAGGGCCGGTCGCCGAGAGGCGCGCGCCGCCGTGAGCCGTGAGGCTCCCGGCGCGGAGGCCCCCCGGCCGAAGCTCTGCGCAGGCCTCGTCCAGGGGTGGCGCCGCGGCCACCGGGCCTTCGGGCCTCCGCCCAGTGGCCTGGGCCGAAGGGCGGCGGAGGAGAGTCGGGAGGCAACTCCTGGGAGGCCTTCCTGGGAGGCCTTGGCTGCGGGTCAGTGCAGTCAGCCTGGCTCGACTGGACCGGACACGCGAGAGGACACACGACTCCTCCGAGGGCCACCGTTGCCATAGGAATCCCACCAGCCCTCTGGGCGTAGGTGGTCCAGGGCGGCCCCTCTCCCCCAGTCCCCTTCTTCCCCTTCGGGGAGGGGTTGACCACTCCCTATTGATATACACCCACTCCCCCAGGCGACTGGGAGCCAACCCGAGCCCATGCGGGCCCCCCCCCACCACCCCTTGTTAAAAATACAAAACACACTCTGCCTCCAGATTCTGGCATGCAGAGCGAACCCGATGCGGCCTCCCCCCACAATTCCGGACAAAAAACAACAAATAATACACTTGGCGGCGGCGGCTGCGGCGGCTGCGGCGGGGGCAGCGGCTGCGGTGGCGGCGGCGGTGGCGGCGGCGGTGACGGCGGCGGCGGCGGGGATGGCGGCGGCGGCGGCGGCGGCAGTGGCGGCGGCGGCGGCAGCGGCAGCGGCTGCGGCGGCGGCGATTCGGCAGCGGGGGCGGCGGCGGCGGCGGCGGGCGGCGCGGTGGCGGCGGCGGCGGCGGAGAGCGGAGAGGGGCGGCGGCGGCGGCGCGGCGGCGGCGGCGGCGGGCCGCGGCGGCGGTGGAGGCGGCGGCGGCGGCGGCGGATTGGCCCCCAGTAGCTGCCCATCCAAAGAGGACTGCTGAATATGCTGCGGCTCGGGCCAAGCTCGGGTGCTACGTATGTGTTGGGAGGGCGGGTGGGAGTGAGCGAGACGGCTTGCGGGCGGGGAGGGCATCTTGACCCCTCCCCCTACCCCCTTCCCTGGACCTGGACGGGGCCAATCGCGGGTGGTTAGAGCGCCCAAAACGGCCTCGGCGAGAAGCCCAAATCATTGGCTTTCCCAAGGTTTTGGCTCCATGTTGGCCTCTTGGGGGGGCAACCCTAATTGAATCTCCCTTCTTCTTTGATCGAGTTTCTCCAAGATGGCCCAAATAAGCGCCCAGGAGGCCCCAAGAGGTCCCAAGATGGCCCCAAGATGGCCCCAAGAGGCCCCAAAGAGGCCTCCAGGCGGCCCCAAGGGGCCTCCCCGAGGCACCCAAGACGCCAAAGAGCCCACCAGGATCGCCAAGAGACCCCCAAGACGTCCCAAGAGGCCACCAAGAATCGCCCAAGAGATACCCCAAGAGGCTCCGAGAGGCATCTAAGAGACCTTTGGCTCTTTTGCTTGCCCTCCTCCTCATGCTCCTCCTTTCTCCTCCTACTCCTTCTCTTCTTCCTCCTCCTCCTCCTCCTCCTTCTCCTCCTCATCCTATTCATCCTCATTCTCCCCACTCCCGCATCTATCCATCCAAACTCATCCTTTTCCTCCTCCCTTCTTCGCACGGTTCGACCGCCCCCCTCTTTGCTCCCGAATTTTCTTGATCACCTCAACTCGCCTGGACATCGTTTATGGATGGGCTGGTGGAGATACGCAAAGCGTCTGGAATGTGTAGAGCAAGGGTCGCGAGACATAGGACACAAGGACGCCCTTGATTTAGCAGGGTCGACCTACTAGTTACTAGTCAGGGCCAACTGTGCCTGATTCCAAGGCCATGAGGAACAGGATGTGCTCAGATTCAGCCCAAGATCAAACGGGAGTGAACGAGATTCAGCGGGTTTCAACGGGATTCGGCCAGATCAAGCTGATTTTCGACGACGGATGTACAGTAGGAGCTCGAACGCAAGAAACCCGACCACTAGACGTCCATTGATTTTGTGTGAGAACGCCACGCTTTCCACAGCACAACCATCGACACCCAAGGAACCCAGGGCACCCAGGAGGCAAGCAGGTTGCCTCTTGGCATCGGTTTCCTCTGTACCAGCGCCGATGCTTAAATGTACCCTTAAATCGGGCCTGTCCCCCTACAGGGGGATTTGGGGCGAAGAATCAAAAATACTCCAAAAATGATCCCCAAAGGCTCCAAAATAATTTAACCATGGTCCCCAGACTAATTTTTGACTATTCCTGAATTCCCTCCTGTAGAGGGACAAGCCCGACCCAAATATACCCCCCAGGAAGCGCATCCTGAGGACAACGCCCCCAGCGGCGGGGGCCGGCAGCCCTCGCCTCCCTGACCTCCGCCCCGTGCCCCCTCGAGATCCGCGCGCCGCAAACCTCTCGCACCAGCGCGCCTCCTCGGGGCATGCTGAAGAAGGACTGTGTCCAGGGCTCCGGTCGTGATCTATTTCGCGATGTTGTATGTTTACGCATTTCGCCACGTCGGATCTCGAGGGCTGCGGGCGCCGCATCTGGACAGCCGCTGCCCGCAGCGGTCAGGGCGCGCGGAGCTCAGGGGCAGAAGCGGGGGCGCGCCGAACGAAGCACGAACAATACGCTCATGCGTTGTTTGTCTTGGTGTGTGGGACGTTGCGCACATCCCCCTGTTCCTGACGCGTTTGACCATGAACCCCTCGCCACACATTTTGGCCTCTGAAGACCGCTGAAAACCGCGGAAAACCGCCAGCGGGCACGCGCCCCGCCATTGGCGTTAGGGCCCACAGTCTCGGCGGTCTTCGACGGTCTTCGGTGGTCGGTCGTCGGTTTTCGACGGTCTTCGGCAGTCTTCGGCAGTCTTTCGGCGGTCTTCGGCGGTCTTTCGGCGGTCTTTCGGCGGTGTTCGGCGGTCTTTCGGCGGTTTTCGGCGGTCTTCGGGGATCTTGTCTTCGGTGGTCTTTCGGCGGTTTTCGGCGGTCTGGACGGCGGCCCGACACGGTTTTCGGCAGTCTTCGGCGGGCATCGGTGTGAAAGAAAAATATTTCGCGTTAGCAATGGATCCATGATCGAACACGTAACGATCCTATTCCCACTGCTGATGCCGCCGCACCCCGCACCCCCCCTGGGACCGAGGGGGGCAACTTGACTTGCATAGCATCCTCGCCCTTTGAGTACGCCTCGGCCAATCAGAAGTTTGCCTGACGATTGACCAAATCGCTTGATGAGAGACAACCGCCTTTGCAACACTGAACACAGTATTATCAAAACAACGCAACAAAGTACAAGGAAGTGAATGGAATATGGATGGAGAATGTGACAGCGAATGCAACTTGTCGAAACTCTGTAACAAAGGCACAAGCATCTTTGAAGTATGTGCCCATTCCCGCGGGCCGAGTGCACCCATTATGGTGGGGTGTCTCTTGCCCGGGGACGCGCCTGCCTTAAGGGCTGCAAATAAGAGTGGTCCGTTCCGTCTCCAGCGTGACGCGGGGCAGGCCGACGTTGACACGAACGACACCTGTGTTTCCGACGTGAGAAAACACCACGTATAAACCGCTCTGTGAGCTTCCTCTTGACACTACGTTTGGCTTCAAGCACGGTAGCTGTATTTGCCAGAAGATGTCGAGCCAGGCTACTAAACCCTGACTATCTGGCCTTCACAAAAGGGAGGAAACGACTGCCCCCTCTTTCGTGACATCGTCGGCACCTAGCGGCTTGACCGCAGGTGCCCCCTTTTTTCGTTGAGTGTCCGACCCCCCGCCCACGTGACCAGAGCACTGACTGGAGCAACGGACGGCGGAGCCGACTTCGTATCCCGGTTCTCGGGCACCACAATCAGAGCGCACGTGCGAAGCCCCCTCTTTGGTAAAGCGACCGCTGCTACTACTCTGGCTGATGGGAAAAATGCTGCACCGCCGAAAACGAGCTCTTGGAGAGACTTTCGGCTGATAACCAAAAGTTTGCCTGATGATTGACCAAATCGCTTGATGACAGGACAACCGCCTTTGTAACACTGAATACAGCATTATCGAAACAACGCAACACATTACAAGCAAGTGAATGAATGGAATATGGAGAGTATGACAGCCAATACAACTTGTCGAAACACTGTAACAAGGGTACAATCATCTTTGAATTATGTGCCCACCCCCACGGGCCGAGTGCACCCATTATGGTGGGGTGTCTCTTGCCCGGGGACGCGCCTGCCTTAAAGGCTGCAGACAAAAGTGGTCCGTTCCGTCTCCAGCGTGACGCGGGGCAGGCCGACGTTGACACGAACGACACCTTTGTTTCCGACGTGGGGGAAACACCACGTGTAAAGCGCTCTGTGAGCTTCCTCTTGACACTGTGTCTGGCTTTAAGCACGGTAGCTGTATTTGCCAGGCGATGTCGAGCCAGGCTACTAAACAATGACTATCTGGCCTTCACAAAAGGGAGGGAAAGACTCAATCGCGGGCCAAGTCTCCGCACGAATTGAACTGCGGCGCCTAAGTTTGAGCCATTGAGCCACATCGCCTCGAAAAATTCCGCGAACGCCAAGAGATCCCCAAACCTCGAGCTACTACAAACCAATCGGAATCGGACCCACAGGGGGTCCCACCCCGTGAGTGCCGATTGCCCGAACCACCCTCCAGGAAACATTGCCCTGAGCAATCCACACACACCAAGGAAAGGGCAATCTGGGCCCACCAGGGGTGGCTGGTGGGTCCAACCCCGTTTTGGGGAATCCAGCGGGTACCGATATAGCTACTCCCTGGACCTCTCCCAGGGTGCATTCGAACCCGAATTTCGAGACGAATCCAGCCGTGGCCGAGGGCCCCCCAAGAGGCTCAAAAAAGGGAAAGCCTTGGAATGCCACCGGTGTCTGTGCCTTCTCCACCCCCGACGCTTGACCGCTAGACTCCATGACAATGGCTCCCCGGCCGTTCCGATCTCGAGGGGCCCCGCCCAGGCCTCCTTTCCCAGACATCCCTCGCCGTCGCTCGGGCGTCCATTCCCCGTGCGTGCTTCGGCTCCGGGCGTCTGCTTTGCCGCGGGAGGATCTTCAGGATGCTCCTCGGGCCGGCCCTCGCCGAGAAGCCGTGCACACGCCCGAGCGCTGCCGAGGCCCGGGCCAGCTCGCTCCGCGCACCGAGCCCCGCGCGGTGCGGCGCGCGGCCGCCGCCGCGCCCCCGCGCCGCCGGCCCGGGGGAGGGCATGCAGCCACTCCGGCCCGCGCGCGTGCACGGGCGACCGCCTCCGCGAGCCCCGGCGGCGGGGGCAGCGCGGGAGCGCGGCCGGGGAGAGCGGCCAGGGGGCGGGCGGGGGGCCGAGGGGAGCGGGCCTTGCTGATGCCCTGGGAGAAGTCCAGGACCTCCCGGAGCGAGGCCTGCGGTGCGCGCCCCGCGGCCCCGCGGGGGGGGGGGGGGCAGCCTACCCCCGAGGGCCGCCGCTGGGCCGGAGGGGCACGTGCGGGGCGAGGCCGAGCCGAGCTCCGGGCCCCGGATGCTCAGAGGAGGCATGGCGAGGATGACGATGGCGATGGCGATGGCGATGACGAAGACGATGACGAAGACGAAGACGAATACGAAGACGAAGATGAAGACGAAGACGAAGACGAAGACGAAGACGAAGACGAAGACGAAGATGAAGATGCAGATTCTGCTGATGGTGATGATGACGATGACGGCGGTGATGCTGATGTTGACGATGACGATGATGATGACGACGATGATGATGATGAAGATGAAGATGAAGATGATGATGATGATGATGATGATGATGATGATGATGATGACGATGACGATGACGATGATGGTGATGGAGATGAAGATGACAATGACGATGAAGACAATGATGATGAGGATGAAAATTATTGTGCTGATGGTGATGATGGTGGTGATGATGGCGACGATAGTTCCGCTGATGATGCTGCTGATGGTGATGATGGTGATGCTGCTGCTGATGACGATGATGGTCATGATGATGATGATGATAACCATGACGACGAGGATGGTGATGTTGATGATGATGCTGACGAAGATAATTATCATGATGATGATGATGATGATGATGATGATGACGACGACGACGACGACACCGACGATGATGACAACGATGAGGATGAAACAATGTATGATGATGGTGATGATGAAGATGTTGATGATGGCACGCCCAACAATGCGGCTCTTCAGGAAACCGGAAAGCTTGTTTTTTAACTCCCCCCAAAGCGGTAGGATGGGGGATGGGGAAGCGAAGGGTTGCCCCCATCCTCCAACACCTTGCTTCCGAACACCTCCTGTGTACACTCAATGGGGTGTTCTGATTGCCAGACTGCGGCGATGGCGACGCCGAGGGCGGCGGCGGCGACGACGCCACCAGCGAGAACGACGGCGACGGTGGCGACGACGGCAACACTGGCAAGGGCGCCGAACGAAGGCGACGGCCTTCTTGATGCCAGCTTTTTGTCCGAGTCACAAAATTGGTCAGCAGATCCATGGTTCCTGCAAATTCCATGTCCTTCGGGTCCACAAAACGACGCGCTGCTACAAATTATTCCGTCAGGAGAATGGTAGATTGGATCTACCCGATAGATCACCCAGTGCTCGCGATAGTACCCCCTGGGGATAATAAAGTTCGGAGTCCAGGGGGGAAATACATGTTGTCCCCGAGATCTCAGCAGCATGATGAAGATGATGAGGATGATGTTGATCAAGATGATCCTGAACGTCAAGGAGTATAATGCAAACGAACCATGGGAGCCCCTTGGAAATCTATAAGCATCTTTCGGACATCCATTGGATCCCTTCGGATATCCATAGGATTCCACCAGAAATTTGATAAACAAGATTCTTAGGACAAACATACGATTCCGGAGGAAATCCATGGGATGTCGTAGGAAATCCATGGGATCCCTTTGGAAAATCCGTGAAGCTCCGTAGGCAATACTTAAGAATCCGTCGTACATCCATCAGATTCCGCAGGAAATCTCGCAGGAAATCCATATTAATCCTTCGGGGATACATGGGATTTCTTAGGATTGTGATCACAATGCCCCGCTCCGAACCCTTCTGCTTCGCGACCAGAGCCATTACCTTGATTTCAATTCAGAGGAACTTAGCTCTACCCAGTGCGGCGTGTGGCCGGGGGGACACAGAGCTCACCGAACCCCTTGTACACGTGAGCGGTCACGCTCCTGGACCCACCCACCATGACATGGAGAGAGAGCAGGAGCCGCAACAGGAGGAAGACCACGCATTGCGACAGTGGGAGCCACATCGGCAAACCAAGCCCCTCAAATTATCACGGCAAAGCAACCTAACAGCGTTGTGTAGAAGCATAGCTGGAAACGTTGCCTGTGGTATTCATGTGAGAATGCTGTTGTAGAATTCTGGTGTTCTCGCAGTCGCACTCGGATTCGCAGTGGCAATCGCAGTGGCAACATCAGCGGCACTCGCAGTGGCGCTGCCAGTAGTTGCAATAACAATAGCTACACTAGCAGCAACAACAGCAGCAGCAGCAACAGTAATAGTAACAGTAGTAGTAGCAGTAGAAGTAGTAGTGATGGTAGTAGTTCCTTGGTAGTAGTAGCAGTAGAAGTAGTAGGGATGGTTGTTTTCGGCCCGTTCTTGTTCGGACGTTCCTTTATTTCGCTTCGGTATCAGGCCGAACTGCTTCACGTGCCCGACGAGCGTTTGCAGAGGACCGCTCAATGCAGCACGCTGAGGAGCAACGCTGTTCCCCGCCGCAGGCTGAGGAGCACCGCTGTTCAATGCAGCAGGGTCAGGAGCACCGCCGCCAGACCGAGAACTATCAGCATGTCCTGGCATTAAGGTGCGCAGTAGGCGCTGCGCAGTTCCTTTGAAAGGAAATCTTCGAAAGCAGGGCTGTAGCCAAGAAGGCTACGGGGACGATGATGATGATGAAGATGATGAGTCTGGAAGTCTGGGAAGTGGAAGAGCACGAAGTGGCCTACAGTTGGCTCCGGGCATTCAAAATGTGGCCCAGGAGTTGAATTCTGGGAAATGGAAAAACACGAAGTGGCCTACAGTTGGCTCCGGGCATTCAAAATGTGGCCCGGGAATGAAGTTCTGGGAAGTCGAAGAACACGAACTGGCCTACAGCTGGCTCCGGGCATCCAAAATGTGGCCCGGGAATGGAGTTCTGGGAAATCGAAGAGCACGAAGTGGCCTACAGTTGGCTCCGGGCATCCAAAATGTGGCCCGGGAATGGAGTTCTGGGAAGTCGAAGAGCACGAAGTGGCCTACAGTTGGCTCCGGGCATTCAAAATGTGGCCCCGAAATGGAGTTCTGGGAGTCGAAGAGCACGAAGTGTATGACAGTTTGATTAAAACGAGCCCGGCCCTTGCTTGTCCGGCTCCCGCCCAGACCCCCCTGGGGAGTCATCAGATGCTCTCTTTTGGCCCCATTGGAAACCTATGAGTCTTCGCTGTTCGGTAAATTATCTTAGCAAAGCAACCTAACAGCGATGTGTAGAAGCATAGCTGGAAACATTGCCTGTGGTATTCATGTAAGAGCGCTGTTGTAGAATTCTGGTGTTCTCGCAGTCGCATTCGGTTTCGCAGTAGCAGTCGCAGTGGCAACATCAGCGGCAGTCGCAGTGGCACTGCCAGTAGTTGCAGTAGCAATAGCTACACTAGCAGCAGCAACAGCAGCAGCAGCAGCAGCAGCAGTAATAGTAACAGTAGTAGTAGCAGTAGAAGTAGTAGCGATGGTAGTAGTGGTAACAGTGAAGTAGTAGTTGTAGTGTGTGGAATGAACGAGTAGGAGTGATGGGAGCAGTGGTAGTAGCAGTAGAAACACTGCTTTGGATAACGGTATCTCCAAATGAGATCTTTGTATAAATCCATTGAGGTCTAAACAAGACACTGCTATCAACGGATGTGAGTCCAAACGAGACATTGCTATCAACGGGTTGAGCCTCAAACGACACACTTGCATCAATGAATGTAGCTCCAAAACAAGCGCCCCCATGAATGGATTTAGTGTGATGTCGTAGTAGTAGTAGTAGTAGTAGTAGTAGTAGTAGTAGTAGTAGTAGTAGTAGTAGTAGTAGTAGTAGTAGTAGTAGTAGTAGTAGTAGTAGTAGTAGTAGTAGTAGTAGTAGTAGTAGTAGTAGTAGTAGTAGTAGTAGTAGTAGTAGTAGTAGTAGTAGTAGTAGTAGTAGTAGTAGTAGTAGTAGTAGTAGTAGTAGTAGTAGTAGTAGTAGTAGTAGTAGTAGTAGTAGTAGTAGTAGTAGTAGTAGTAGTAGTAGTAGTAGTAGTAGTAGTAGTATTAGTGGTAGTAGTAGTAGTGGTAGGAGTAGTAGTAGTAGTAGTAGTAGTAGTAGTAGTAGTAGTAGTAGTAGTAGTGGTGGTAGTAGTAGTAGTCGTAGTAGTAGTAGTAGTAGTGGTAGTAGTAGTAGTAGTGGTAGTAGTAGTAGTAGTAGTAGTAGTAGTAGTAGTAATAGTGGTAGTAGTACTAGTACTAGTACTAGTAGTAGTAGTAGTAGTAGTAGTAGTAGTAGTAGTAGTAGTAGTAGTAGTAGTAGCAGTAGTAGTAGCATGGGCACGGACCCGTAAGACCTGAGTCTCCACCGGGGTGTTCGGCGAAGCCATTGATGATGATGATGATGATGATGATGATGATGATGATGATGATGATGTGATGATTGAAAAGGATGATGGGATGATGACCGCGCTACTTGGATTTGTTCTGTCCGTCTTGAAAATGTGGCTCGGGAGAACACGAAGTGGCCTACAGTTGGCTCTGGGCATTGAAAATGTGGCCCGGGAATGGTGTTCTGGGCAATCGAAGAGCACGAAGTGGCCTACAATTGGCTCCGGGCATCCAAAAGGTGGCCCGGGAATGGAGTTCTGGGAAGTCGAAGAGCACGAAGTGGCCTACAGTTGGCTCCGGGCATCCAAAATGTGGCCCGGGAATAGAGTTCTGGGAAGTCGAAGAGCACGAAGTGGCCTACAGTTGGCTCCGGGCATTCAAAATGTGGCCCGGGAGTGGAGTTCTGGAGGTCGAAGAGCACGAAGTGTGTGACTGTTTGCTTGAAACGAACCCGGCCCTGAGCCCGGCCTTCGCTGTCCGGATGCCGCCCAGACCTTCCTTCTGAGTCATCAGATGCTCTCGTTTGACACCACTAGAAACCTATCAGTCTTCGCTGTTAGGTAAAAACACCACCGTGGAGGCCAGAAGAAAGCGAGTGGCAAAACGCGTGGCTCCGCAGAGGGATCACAAAACGAAGAAGCCGTACTGATGCAGAAGCTCACCCTGAACACGGCTCAGATGATGCGCATGGTGTCAGGCAGCCTGTTGGGATTTCTTCCTGGCAGAAACGCACCAGCCAGCAGAGGCCGCGGCGGCAGGAGGAGTGACGTACGCGGAAAAGATCAAGACGACGGGCAGCAAGGCAATGGGCTCGCCACCTCTACACATCGGAATGAAATTCTCCCTGCCGCTGGCCAAGCAGGAGGAGCTCGGGAGCGAAACCAAAACGATACAGACGGAATTCAGCCAGCTCATCGAGATCCTGCCGATGAGCGAGTTCGCGGACATACTGGCAGACTTTCGTGCGGAGAAGGCCTACAGCGAACCAAGTCAACCGAACACGTGGAAGGTCCACATCAGATTCAACCCGACAGGGGGCCCCGCCGTGGACCACGACATGCGAGGACGAGATGACCGCCACACGACAGGACAGTGCCGAGGCCGAGGCGCCGATCCAGATGGGCAGCTGCACGGTGCGGGAGCCGAGGCTGGCAACACGCCGAACGCTCCAGCAGCTCAGAGCGGAGCAGGTGTACGGAGCCCCACCGCCACCGGCCCTGGAGAGGCAGCTGCAAGCAGCACTACGAGCGAGACACGCAACAAGCTGGGAATCGGAAAGGACTCTTTTCCGAGCAGGGACCTTTGACCCCGAGCGGAGGTGATGGGCCACAGTGCCAGACGCCTCCACCGTTCCAGAACGTTTTTGTTTGACAAGGGGCTCGGTACTGAGCTGCAGCGGGCCTGTAGGGCTGAACCAAGCCAGGGGACCCGGTGGCTGACCCCTGCTATGCCGATAACGCCGCCAGCAGCTACCGAGCTCGCAGGACATGCGAGACGTGCCCTAGTTCTCTCGAGCAGAGGACTCACCAATTGCCCAGGCTTCCATTTCCGACTCCGACTCCCCCTCCTTCTCTCCCCTCCCCCGTCCTCCTTATCCTTCCCCTTCCTTTCCATCATCCATTCCCCTGTTCCTCCCCCTCCTCCGTCTCCTCCTCCTCCTCCTCCTCCTCCTCCTCCTCCTCCTCGTCCATCCTGTTCCGCCGTCGAAACACGGACAGCTCCAACGAGATCCAGAGAGCTCCGTAGACCGACACGCGGTGGCGCTCCGCTCCTTCTCCTCACTCTGGTGTCCCTTCTGGTCGTGCTTCTTTATCTGCTTCATCCCCCCGTCGCGCCCAGGAAGAAAGGAAGTTAGCAGAATACAAACAACTACATGAACAAAACTTTCGGAGCTCCGCGCGGATCATCTGGATCGGCGCTGGATCCCCCTCCCCTGGCACAGGGGCGCTGCCGGAAGCGCCGCCAGGGGGACCCAGACGCCGATCCAAGACATCAGCGCGGAGCTCGGACACCTTGTGTGCATGATGATCGTCTTCGAGAGGTCGCTCATCTTTTCACTATCCTTAGGCGACGAGCCCAGGGGGGAAATGAGAAGGAGAAGGCCTTCTCAGAAGGCCGCGGGACTTCTTAGAAGTCCGGGGGGCTTCTGAGACGTTTCCTTGGCCTATTTCGAATACAGACAGAACTTCTCAGAAGCCCTCTCAGAAGTCCAGAAACTTCTCAGAAGCCTCGGAAGTCCCGCCCCTTCTCATTTCCCCCCCGCGCCCGCCGCCGAATCCTGTCACACCTCCTTCTTCCCAATATCTCGGCCGATTCGTCCTTATCCACTGGCGGGCAACAATCAGAAAGACACACGGTCCTTGCCGTCTCCATTGCCGTCCAGCTTGGCGTGGAGCCCTCTCAGCTGCTCGGCACTGAGGGAGTCCTCCTCGACGTCCATGTCGCCGAAGTCCTCCTCGTCATCCTCCTGGCACCTGTAGGGGACGAACTGCTCAGACACTGCTTTGACAGAAGGGTCGCCGCACATCCTGCGCATGCTAACTCGGCAACTGCAACGGCGGCGCCACCCCCACCTGGAGAGCCCCCTGCGAGTCCGGAGGCTCCCGCGGAGGCCCCCTGAAAATCTCGAGTGGACAGAAAGGTACTGATACCGCACCTCCCTGGACCTCTCCAAGGGGTCGTTCTGATCAGAATTTCGATGCGAATCCAGACCTTACGACGAGGGATAGCTAGCGAAGTCGATATCGTTTACTCCTCTGACCCCTGCATCTTCCACCGCGCACGCCACTGCAATCTCTCCGACAGCGCCCTGACCGCCCGAAGGCTCCTGGAGGCCCTTCTGCAGGGGGCCGCCAGGAGCCTCCGTAGGGGAACTAACAAGTGGATACGCATAAACTGTTGGAGGTCCGCGCGGATTTCTTGGATCGGAGCCAGAGGCGATGCTGGGGGGGTTCAGCGCCGATCTGAAAATTCCGCGCGGATTTGTCAGTCTATTTTCATGTCACGTTTCATGCCTGAAGAAAACCACACTGGGGGCGTTGTCTTCATACTTGTCCTTTTTCCGGCTGAAAAAAAAAAGAAGAACGACTGCGACCCAAAACATCCGCCACCGTGCTTCTGGGGATTTGGCGTGTCCTCTGGTTCCCCGCCCAATCCCCTAAACCTCAATCCTCACTTCTGAGGAGCAGCGCAAGGGGTCCAAACCTTTGTGGGCCCCGGAAACGGCATGGCCGTTTTTTCACCGTTTCCGAAAAAATGTCCCTTGAAAATGGACACGGCAAAAAAACGGCGACCGGAAACAACAAAACAACGGCTCCAGGATTGGACCCGGAGCCGGAACCTGTCAAGAAACGGCGACGGAACCGGTGAAAAAGCGGCGTCGGGACCGGCAAAGAAACGGCAAACCGGAGCCGGTAACAAACACGGCCCTGTCGTTTCCAGGGCCCACTAAGGTCCAGACCCAATCCTCACTTCTGAGGAGTAGCGTCAATCCTCTAAACCTCAATCCTCGATCCTTAGTCTAAAACCTAAACCTGAATCCTAAACCTCGATCCTCTAAACCTCAATCCTCTAAACCTCAAACCTCTAAACCTCAATCCTCAAATCTCCAGGGGGCCCCCCGCGTGCCCCAGAAGGCTTCCCGCGTGCCCCCTGGGCTCCCCCGCACCTCGGCGCGCGACTTTTTCGAGCCCAAGGGGGTCTCAATACGGCCCAAGAGGGCCCCGCAAGGCACCCAGTTCGCCGAAAGATCGCTCCAAGACGCCCGAAGACGGCCTCATGATGGCCCAGGAAGAGGCTCTGAGGCTTCGAAGACGCCCAAAGATGCCCCCAAGAGGCTTGAGGCTTCGAAGACGCCCCAGGAGGCCTAAAAGAGCCCTCCCCAAAGAGGGCCCCGCGAGGCACACGTCAGCGGTGTTCCTGCGATATTGGAAGGATTTGGGCGTTCTCGTCTTTTCTGTTCTCCGACGCTCCAAGACGGCCCAAGAGGCCCCCAGAGACGGCCCAACAGGCCTCCATGAGGGCCAAGACGGCCTCTAAAGGGGCTCAAGAGAGGGAACGCCTTCCGCCCCAAGAGGCCCCCAGGAGTCCCAAGAGGCCCCACGAGGCCCCCAAAAGGCCTCCAAGAGGCCCCAAGAGGCCCCAAGGAGGCCCCAAAGAGGCCACAAGCGGCCCCAAGTCTCCAAGATGCACCCGAGAAGCCTCCCACGAGATCCAAGCCAACATCCAGTAGGCTTCATACCCACAACCCAAACACAATGCCGGGATGGGCCGGAAACCATTTGATTGAAAGAACCGCAATGCAACACGGAACCGAACCGAAAACGGCGCGAGCCAGAATCCCAATACCAGAAAAGAAACGGACCCCCAAAAAGAATCAACACCACCGACCTGGAAAACGGAACAAAAAACACGCCCCCACTTGAGACCGGCATCTAAGCCAGGCGCGCCGCGCAGCGCCGAAAGAAGATGCGCGCATCTTCCATCGCGCACGCCGCCTTCGGGCGTTGCGACGGCGGCGCCCCCCGGATAGAGACCTCTGCGACGCGGTGCCGCCAGGGTGGGGGCTCCAAGGGCAAGAGCCCGAGGCTCGGAAAGGGGCACCAGCACCAACACAGGGGGTGGCCTCCATCGGGGGAAGATGAGCCTGGACTTTCGTGCTGCTGGTACTCGTTCGGTCACCTGGGAAGCCCAGAGATCAGCACCACCACCACGATCGCGAGCATCTTCCCTTGGTGGAGGCACACCGCCGATATTGATGTCGGTGTCGAGCCCTAGGCCTCCGAAGAGAGGGGACCCACATTGAGTGAATACATCCCTCGGTAGACGAAGGGGAGTCGGCACCGGCAGAAACGCTCGGAGCTCCGCGCCGAGGGTTGTGTGGCCCAAAGGACAGGAAGGGACCCCAAAATCAACGCACAATGCACGAAACCCCAAATCCTTCGGTAGCAGAAACGGCAAGAGCAAGAACGCTTGGAACTCCGCGCGGATTTCTTGATCCGCGCTGGGCCCCCATCTCTGGCGCGCGGAGGCGCCGACAAGGTGTCCCAACGCGTATCCAAGGGATCCGCGCGGAACTCCGCGAATTTCTGGTTGTGTACGTATCTTCTTCCTCGATCAGGGCCCCATCCCTGAGCGGAACCGCCGACGTGGAGCCTCACGGGAGAGGCTGAGTCCAGACGGAACAATGAAGCCCAAACGGAGGCCGAGCACTCCGCGCGGAATTACCCGAGATGGACGCAGTATATCCTGCCAGGGAAGAACCACGGCCACGTCCAGACGGAGTGAGCCCAGACGGAGGCCGAGCCCACAAGCTGTAGAAGCACAATTTTTTGCAGGTCCGCGCGGGCCTCCGAAATTTCATGCGCATGCCATGCCTCGCCCCTCGAGGTCACTGAATCAGACGCCGCTGGTCGGAAGGTGTGGATGGTGGAGTGTCTGGGTAGTCGAAGCCAATCTGGCGCCAATCTGGCAGGCCCAATCTGGCAAACGGGGGCAATCTGGCGAGGGAGCCAACGCGAATCCAGTCTGGCGAATGACCCAAGTCATCCAGTTTGGCCGGGCCAGAGTGGCCCTTGGGGCCCAATCCAATCTGACAGTCTGGCCTTCGACTACCCAGAGTGTGAAGGGACTCCGTGCGGACTTGGCATCCTCCGAGCCTCCGAAATGTCATCCGGGAGGACCTCCGAAATGTCATGTGCATGCCATGCCTCGCCCCTCGAGGTCACTGAATCAGGCACCGCTGGTCGGGAAGGTGTGGACGGGGTGGAGCGTGAAGGGACCCCGTACGGACTTGGCATCCTCCGAGCCTCCAGGATGCCCCCCCCCCCCCGGCACCTTCCCATCTGGCGGGGGCACAACGGCGTCGCAGACGCGTGCGACCCCTGGCCTCCTGCCACGGCCAGCAGGCAGACACACAATCGCATCGCTCGGGGAGCAAATAATGACATCCCCCCCAACGTGTCCTCGATTCGGTCAACAACTAATCACGCAAAAACGTAAACGCAAACTCTCGAAGTTCCGCTCGGACTTCTCGGATCGGAGCTGGCACCCCCTAGCGGCGCCTCCAGCGCCGCCCCTGGCGCGCCCCGCGCGCCAGGGGTCCAGCGCTGGCCCAAGAAATCCGCGCTGCCCAGGATGATTGACGTTTATGGCATTACTTGTGCCCCGAATCGAGGACACACCCCGGGGAATGCCTTGTGCATGCCAACTGATCGTCCAAAGTCCGAAACCAGAATAAGACTGGTTGTGGTCGAGGTGGGCCCGCAGGACGGCCAACTCGACCACAACCAGAACCAGAACGCTAATGACAAGGTCGGTGCGTTCCGCCACGAGGGGCCCTCCCGAAAAATCCACCTGGATGTGGCTGTGGTTCTTTGTTGTGCCCAGACCTGCTCAGGTACACCCTGCGAAATGCTTAAGAAATCATCGGTTAAGAAATTCATAGTCTCAGAACTTGAATAAAAACCCAACATTTCTATTAAAATCTTGGGATTTACATTGAAACATTAAGAATAATCGAGACTCTGGCCGAAAACTTGGGTTTTCTTAAGCATCGCTTAAGGTGTACAGACGTGAGGCGTGGATTTATTTGCCCTTCTGTCGTCGTCGACCGCCGCTGTCCATGCGCAGCGTGCTCGCGAGTGTGCTCGCGTGGATTTCAACTGGATTCCGTAGAGAGTTGCTTGTCCCCTCTCCACCGCCCGGATTCTCTGAGGTTTGACATGGCGTGGCAATGTGAAACATCTACGCAGAACCCAAAGGTTAATCCAGACCAGAATCTGATGTTGTGCTCCATGTCTTGCGACGCGGAATTCATGCAGAACTCCACGCACTGGTTTTCGGCGGCCAGCGAGGGGGATACATGAGAAGGAGAAGGCCCTCTCAGAAGGCGGCGGGACGTCTCAGAAGCCCTCGCGCCTTCTGAGAAGCTATTTTTGTGCCTTCGGGGAAGGCTTAGAAAACTTCTCGGAAGGCTGGGGGACAGACCTCCGAGCCTTCCGAGAAGGCCCGCCCCTTCTCCTACCCCCCTCGCCCGCCGGCGAAGTTTGCATTTACACACACATTTACAACAATCTCACTCCGAATCCATGCTGCAAAATGCCCTGCCCGATCTGAAGGGGCCCCAGGACACACAAATAAATACACACTAATTAAAATATTCCCCACATTCTCCCATATCTTCTGGGTTTCTGTCTCCCCCCCCACTTCCCATGTTTTCCCATATGTTCTGAGGAGTCGAGGATTCATTGTGTCTGTATGTTTTTTTTCCTCTCCTGACGATCTTCCACGACGTCCTCGGCTCAGGAGACGACGGCCCCTGGCCCGGGGCGCCCACCTTGCCCGCTCCGCCGGCCAGCACGCCCGAGGAGGGGGACGGAGCAGGCAGGGCGGACCTCAGAGAGGTCCGACATCGCGAAGCAGTCAAGGGGCCCCAGGACACACCAATAAATACACACACAAATCCCAGGGTTCCCTAGATTTTCCCATAGCTTCTGGGTTTCTGTCTTCCCCCACACCCCCCATCTTATCGCATGTTTTCCCGGGAGTCGACGATTCATCGTGTCTGTGTGTTTTTTCCCCGCCTGAAACCAGTGCAACACCAACGAGAAATCACGACTGGAACCCTAGACCCATCTGTAGAGTCTCGAGAGGCCTCCCAGGGGGGTCGGAGTAGATGGGGTCGGAAGATCGCGCCGCATCGCCGATGCACCGGCGACGTGGGTGACGCATCGGCGACGTCGGTGTGGAGGAAATCGGGCTCCACATCGAACCGCAACGTCGATGCATCGGCGATGCGGCGCGATCCTCCGACCCCTTCTGCCTGGACCCCGTCTATGAGGCCTAGAAGCTCTCTGCGGCATCTGTAGAGCCGGACCGATTTGCGGGGATCGCAGGGCGACGACGCCCGGGCGACGGCGCCCGGTGCGGCAAAAAAAACGGCAGCGCCTGGCGCGAACAATGCTTGGCTCCCGCTGGGCCTCCTCCTCCTCCTCCTCCTCCTCCTCCTCCTCCTCCTCCTCCTCCCACCGCGACACCCCGGGCGCCGCCTCTGGCGCCGCCAGTGGCGCGCCAGGGAAGGGGGTGCGGGGAGGGGGGTCCAGCGCCGACGCGCCGGCCCAAGAGAGCCGCGCGTACCTCGACGTGGCTGCGCACGCGTCGTCGTTGGGCCTTCAGGTGAGCGCATGTCAGGGGATGCCCAACTGCGAGTGCCGTCTGAACCCAACGACCGCAGCTGTTCAACAGGCAACGCTCGTCCCAGATGAACAGCACCGCCAGCCATACCGACAGCGGGCCGTGTGCCGAGCAAGCGTGAGCTGCTTCTCAACATTGCCACCATCCTTTCCGCCCCGATCTTGGCCCTGCCGCGCACAACCAGATGCACTGGCAGCATGCATGCTACCTTTCGGAGGCGCGCGCGGATTTCTTGGATCAGCGCTGGAACCCCTCCCTTGCGAGCGTGGGGATCCAGCCGCCAGGGAGGGGCCCAAGCTGGCCGCGCCTCCCTCCATCGCCGCCCCTGGCGCGCTCCGAGCGCCAGGGAGGGCCCAAGAAATCCGCGGACATCCGAACATAGACATTATTATGTTGTCGTTTCTCGTTCGATGGCAGCGCAGAGCACGGCATCACCACCTCCGACCCCGGGGAGCACTCAACACAAAGCGATACCGCCACTCCCTGGACCCTGGGCCCCTCCCGCAATGCGCTCTGACCAGAGTTTCGGCGCGTTCACGTAAGCCTCCAACAAGGACGTACCGATACCACTACTCCCTGGACCTCTCCTGCGGTGCGCTCTGACCAGAACTTTGGGCGAAGACTCCGTGGCGACTTGGGCCTACCGGGAGGCCCGAGAGGGCGAAGACGAGGCAGGGGCGGTGGCGTCGGTGCCTCTGTTCCCTCTGAGCCTCTCCCGCCCGAGATCCTGCGGCGCGCCCCCCCCCCCCCCCCCCCGCGCGCGCGACCTCGACGGCGCCGTCAGCGCCGCCAAGGCCGCCAGGCGGAGCAGCCGCCGCCACCTCATCCTCCCTGGACTGCGCGGAAGAATGCCCTCAAGGGTAAGAGTGACTTTTGATGCGCGGCCCTAAGGAGCCACGGTGGGGCCATAACCGAGCGCGCAGGGGGCACTGGGGGGTAGGAGGTTACCCTGCAGGATCTGCCCTTCTAACAGGTCTGACCCTGTGCTGCGTCGAACGCAACGGCCGCGGTGTCTATAGACGTAACCACCTCGAATGTGTTTGTCTACGTAACGACGCCCAATGTGCCCATAGACGCTTGTGGCCAGCAAGCGGGAGCGGCATTTTGGCACTGGACAAGCATGTTGGTCCTCTTGAAGCAGGCATCGCCTGGGCCCTCCAACTGGGGGGGGCCCCTCTGGGCCCACATCTCTGGACACCCACATTTCAGGTAGGGGATCAACTACAGATTTGATTTACCCCGAAATTGTGTTTTCTCGTCGCATCTAGAAAAGGAAGAAATAAAACGTTCGTGGACTGCTACGTATTCCTTCGGCGATTCGACGAAGAAGCAATTTTGAGGTAAATCAATTCTGCATTCGATCTCCTACTCGAAAACTGGATCCAGAAGAAGAGGGGCACGATGCCCAACACGACATGTGGCCCAAAGCCGACAGCCAACGGCCGCTGTCGGGCAGGCTTTTTATTCTGCCTCCAGTGCGCCACGCCCGCGGCAGGACACGCATAAGCACGCCCCTGTCAAAATGGACAGGAAAGGCTGTCGGTCTTCGTGCCTACGGTGATGGCATTTTTTTATCCTATCACCCTGGGGCTTATCATGCACAGACAAATTCAGATGCCGTTTTACGGCCCCGCAAACAGCGCTTGCGCGAGCCCGCGGCCCTCCAGGACCAGACCCCGAAGCGAGGCACCATCACACCGCGCTGAGGCCGACTTCAGGCCTGGGGTCCACCGACCTGGCCGCTCGGCGGCCCTGCCTCGCTCCTGAGCTTCAGCAGCGCAGGCAAAGCCGCAGGGGCCCAGGGCTCCCTCGAGCCCTGGGCGAAACAGCCTCTGTGGGGCCGGCGGGGCGGGTGCCCGTTCCCGCCTCGCTGGGGGCTCCACGCTCGCAAAGAGAAAGCGGAGTCCGCCGCCTACTGCTGGAGCTGCGCCTCGCGCCTCCGCTGCCGCTCCTGCCTGGCCCACGCCCTCCACGGGGAGCCAGGCCCGAACGTGTCACGGAGCCAGAGGCGCCCAGCTTCTAGCTCGGAGGCTGAGGGAGCTGGAGGAGCGTCGTCGCCGCCGTCGCCCTGCCAGCCCGGCCTCCGAATGTCACGGTCGACCGTGAGGGCCACGGTTCCCTCGAAGACGTGGCGGCGCAGCGCCAAGAGCCGCTTGGGCCCGCGCGCGGGCTCCTGGCGCGCCACCGTCTCCGAGCCGTGGAGCGTACAGCCGCCACCGACGCCGCCCTCGCCGTCCTCCACCTCGATCCCCCCGCCGCCAGAGCAGGAGCAGGAACCCGAGGGAGGCGAAGTGAGGAGGGCGTCGTCGTCCAGGCTCCTGCCGCCGTTGCGCTGGGGCCCAGCCGCCTCCACGCCGTCTCCCGTGCCGAAGTGCGGGGAGAGGTCGAAGCCGCCGTGCGCCGCGGCGTCCGAGGCCAGAGCACTGTTTCCGTCCTGGTTGCGGGAGCCGTCCACCTGCATGCTGAGCTCGCCGTCGACGTCGCCAGCGGCCGTCTCGCTGCCACCGCTGAGGACGGCAGCCTCGTTGGCCAGCAAGTACGCCGTGACGATCGAGGGGCCCGCGAAAGCAGCAGGAGAGGAGGTGCAGGCAGTGCTGCACGCCGCACCAGGAACAGGGGGGCGATGGGGATGACCAGCACCACCTTCAGAAGGCCGAGGGACATGGTGCTCGCCGAAGCCGCCGCTGCTCTCAGGCCTGTGCATGTCGAGCCCCATGGGCGCCGCCGCCACGGGAGCCTTCTGCGCCTCCTTGCTGTCGAAGTGGGTGCCGTGCGAGGCGCCGCCGACGCCGACTACGTCGCTGTCCTCGACGCTCCACTTCCACCAGCGCGGGCCCGAGGCCAAGGGCAGCGGCCTCGCCTCGGGAGCCCGCCTCGCGCGCTCGGCCAGCGCGAAGATGGCGCCAGGCGGCGCGCTGCGCCCGCGGTAGGCCCGAGCGACCGTCCAATCGCTCGGGGCCGCCTCGCAGGCGGCACGCGCCTCTGGCTGGCGGCGCGGCGGGGCAGGGGCGCCGCCTCGGAGAGGGGGGCAACGCTCCTCCGACCGCTGCCGCACATGGGAGGCTGCACCGGCAGAACGAGGTAGAGGAAGAGCAGCCCGTGCTCGAACACCAGCGCCGCGGACTCGACCGTGCCGAGCTTGCCCTCCGAGGTGCACCCGCCCCGCCTTCGCAGACCTCTGCAGGCGATTGAGGGAGGACTGCCGCATCACCGAAATGCTAGCGGCCCTCCTTGCTGCGCAGTGGAGCCCAGCGTTGCGCCGAGAACGGTGCAGCGGACCCACGCCAGCCACCGCACGGCTGCCGCTGCCCCACCGTTCGCCTGCCTGAGCCTGGGTAGGCTCGCCCGCGGCCGTGCCGGCACCGTCGCCTGCACCCTGTAGCACGCCGCTGAGGGGCATGCTCTGGGCGCCGTCGACTCGGTGAGCGCTGGCGGCCGCTGCTGCCTGCCCGCCCCCCTGCTCTCCTTCGCCCGCCCCCGCAAGCCGCAAGGGCCCAGGAGGCGGCCGAGGGGCCGAAGAGGTGTCGGCCGCCGCACGCTGCGGGCCTGCCAGCACCTCCAGGAGGACAGGGACCGCCAGCGCCAGCCTCTCGGAGACCTCGCGGTGGAGTGCCTCGCTGGGAAGCTGGGCTGAGCCTTGGGCCGCCAGCGCCAGCGCCTGGGCCGCCGCCGCCTCGTGGGCGACCCGCAGAGCCGCGAGTTCCGCCTCGAGGACTGCGACGCGCCCCAGCGCCGCCCGCAGCTTGCCCTGGTCGGCCTCGCGCGCCGCGGCCCGTCGGGCACGTCGCGCAGGCCAGAGCGAAGCCGCAGCCCCGCCGTGCTGAGGCGGCTCGGCTGCCGTACAGGCAGCTCGGCCGCCGCCCGCAGCCATCCCTCAAGCAGACGATCTCTGCGGCCACCCGCGGGGCCCAACACGAGAGCGCGCAAATGGGATCGGCTTGAGCCAAAATGGCTACGGACGGTGATGGCATTTTTTTTATCTGTGTAGGCGCCGCGCGAGCACGGCGGTTTCATGCACGCATTCAAAGCCGCGGGACCAGCGCGGGGTCCCGCGGGGTCCCGCGGCGCCCGCTCACCGCCCGATCAACTCCATGAACGAGGCGCAGAGCTGGGCGACGTCACGGTCGCGGCGCTCCCGATCCAGGCGCGCGCGCCGCCGTACGAACGGCTGCTGGCCCGTGGCCTCTGCAGAAACCAGCAGAAGCCTGTGGGCCGAGGCCGTCCAGTCCAGCTTCTCTACCAGGCAGTCTTCCTGCAGCAGCTCCTCGTCATCGCGCGCGATGCACTGCTGCCCAAACTCGGGATCGGCACCGCCGTCCCCTTGGCTGCCCTGGTCCTCCGTGAGGCCGTCGAGCGTCTCCTGCATCTCGCAACTGCCGATGCTCTGCTCGCTGCCGAGAAGCTGCGCGTGCTGGCCGTCCTTGCCGAGCGTCTTCGTATCGAAGGGCTCCCACTGGCTGTAGACCACCGCGCCGCATGTGCAGCGCAGGCCAGCCGCCGCCTCGCCCCTGCCGTGCAACGGCTCCCAGCTTCCCGCACCTGGAATGAAGGCTGGGCTTACCCTGCGGAGCTGCACGCCGCGCGCCTCCTGCCGCAGCGCCCGCGGCGGCGCCAGCCTCGCGGACTTCTGGAAGCGTCTGAACTCCCTGCCGCTGGCCGCCGCCCGTGGCGCGACTGCCGAATGTTCAGAAACATTCCGCCGCAGGATGTCCACGTCGGTGAGCGGGGCGGCCGCCACGCCATCGCGGGCCTCGATCTGGGCTCGAAGAACCGGTTCGATGCCCATCCACCGCTGGCGCAGTTCGTCTGCATGAGGGTCAGGGTGATCCCCGTAGCCCAGGTGCCGCAGCAGCTGGTTGAACTCCGACGTCTTGAGCCGCAGCTGCTCCTCGAGTGCTCGAACTTGAGCACGAGCTGCTGCAAGCCCCGCGTCGGCTGCCACCAAGACCCTCCTCCGTGCTGCCGTCCGCGTCGCTCTCGATCGCCGGCCGCATGCTTCTATGCTGGAATCGCCGCAATGGGGCGACTCCGCCCGTGCCATCCCAAGCGGTCCCGCGCGCGCTGAAGCGGGCGGAACACAGGCTTGAGCCAAAATGGCTACGGACGGTGATGGCATTGGGTAAGGAAAGCTTCGATAAGGAATCCAGGGTCTGGAAGCCAGCGGAAAGCCAATCGTGTATTGGCCATGGATGTCACCGCCACCCTTCTTAGAGATGGAATCCTCCAAGGTCTGAAGCCTTGTGGTCACATTCCTTCACCAACGCCCCCACCGTGTTCTTCTGTAGAGCAGGTTCGTGTCGTGTCGACCCTGGCGTTTGTTCCTGACACCGCGGGGATCGTTTAACCTTGAACGATCGGCCGTTTCCAAAACGTTCGCTCGTTCCGCCGACGGTCGACACGACGCGAACCTGCCGTATCCACTTCGATCGTCCCGAACATCAGAAGTCAATCCAGCGAAGGGCCACTCTTGCGCGCAGCCGGCTCCCCGGCCGCAGCCGCCGCGCGGGCCCCCGCGGGCGCCCGGGGCGCGGGC